GTGGTTAAGAGAAAACCATTCAGATGCACAATTACTTTGGAAATGTCTTTTATTATACACATGTCTCCCCGAGTAAACAAAAATGAAATGCAATGGTTTGTAAATGCAAATAAATAAAAAAATAGATCACAAATGAAGCCAAATGTCAGAAGTCGGGCTCGTTCCTGTTTCATGGGGAGCATCAGCTCATCTTCAGTCTGGAATGAGATGTTTCCAGATCCTTATTTTTATTTGATGTGTTTAGAAATATACTCAAAGTTTTCTTGATTCTACATTTTGGGAATTCTGAAACTGTCTGTAGACATTGTTCCTTGTAGACTGTTGAAACAATCCAGATTTGTTTATTTGTGATATATAAATATATATAAATACATATATGTATGTGTAGTTAAACAACTCCACTCAAATAAAGGCAGAGAAATGTGTTTTAGCATGTCTAAAAAGAAGCTTTGTTAGAGCATGCAGACTACTTCAAATAACTGAAACATAAAATAGTCCATAACTTAAAAAGGGGCAGACGGTTGCTGTGTTATGGATTTATTATGTGTTATGAAATATGGACTTCCTGTGTTTCCAGACGTCCTGCTGGTGGGGACTGATGCTGTTCTGAGTCTGAGCTCGGGTCAGAGGGCGAGACCAGGTCAGCTCAGGTTAGTGAGGGGAACCTAGTGATCATCTCCTCCACCAACGAGCAGCTCTGAGCTGCTGAATAAAAAACAAGCCCTCCATGTCAGGTCAAGGCTCCCAACGGCCTTCTGACTGATAGATAGATAGATATTTTTTCATTTTTCTGCGTTTAGCAGACGCTTTTATCCAAAGAGACTTACAAAGTAGACACAATCTTACAGTTATCAATCTGACAATAAGCTCTGTAGAGGAAAACCCCCAGTCAGAATCAGTGGTGGCAGAAAGAGAGAGAAGGAAGCGCAGAAAGAGGAGTATTGGGTCCAGAGGTCTGGGTAGGAGTCAGGATAGGAGCTGCTCTGTGGAGAGGGGGTCTTTAAGAGTCTCCTAAAGACAGACAGACCCCTGCTGCTGTTCCTGTAGCTCCCTCCTCCATCTGAAACAGTCTGAGCAGTTCTGCTGGACCAGAACCCGCTGAGGACCGGAGGGACCGGCTGGACCTCTGAGAGGGTTCAGGGGGACGGAGCCGGACCCTGAAGACCTCTGTAGGCATCAGGGACCTGGTTTGATGGGGGTAACCGGAGGTAACCGGGGGTAACCGGTGAAGCTCAGTGGTCAGAGGGGGGACGTGAGACTTTTTGGGGCTGATTGAAGACCAGACGCCGCCTTGTGGATCCTCTTTAACGGTTTCACCGTCCAGGCTGGAGAGTCAGGAGGGGTTACAGTAGTCGAGGGGGGAGATGACCACAGACTGACCAGGATCTGGGCAGCATGTGGGGTTAGGGATGGGCGGATCTTTCTCATGTTTATTGGTGTGAAGTGATTAGATGGAGAGACGGAGGTAACGTGACCTTTAAGGTCAGCTGGTCATCACTCAGGACAGCGAGTTTCTTTCTGGCTTTGATGGAGTCAGACACGGGGACCCGGTCTGGATGGGAATAAGGTGGTGTGTGGTTGGTTTGGCTGGGAAAACAAGCGGGTTTCCAGAAGCCTGTGAGCATGGGCACTGATCTGGGGGGAGGGGTGAGGAGGTCCAGCTGGAGGCTGCAGGTGTAGCGGAGCTCTGGACGGGCTGAGGTCCGGCTCCACGCTGCACACCCACAAAGCAACAAGCTCTAGAAAACCTTGGGGGAGAATTTAGCCAAAATGTGTCTCTTTTGTGTAATCAGGAGGCAGCTGGCTGGCCTTGACTCGGCGGACCAGACGTCTGATGAATGGAGCTGAAGCCACCCTTGAAAGAAGCCTTGGTCTCAAATATCCTGACCAATAACAGCCTCGTCCAAGGATGAGGCCCCTCTTTTTTTAACTTTATTGTCAGTATACACCTTACAGGCAAAAACAACCACACAATGCAACAACTGCAAAACAAAACCATAAAAAATACAAATAAATAAAGAACACCTTGATGGTGGATCACATAATATTTACAGATTACATGGGTTTATCTGTCTTTACATTATCTATTCACTTTCAGCCCTTTTATAGAGTAACCAGAGTCCATCCTTATAAACAAAGGCAGTTTAAACTGTAGAATAGTATCATATTTTCCATCATTTGGACATGTTTAATGTTCTGTTTCCATTCAGATCTTGTGGGCTGCATCCAGTTGACGGTTATCATTATCCTAGCAGGCATCAAAAGGATGAGTAGAATATAGCGTTGGTCTTTGGTCAAATTCAGTTCTGCCATGTTGTCCAATAAGAAGAAAAACAGGAACCAAAGCTAAATGAATAACCATCATTTTCCAAAATGTCTGTATTTTGGGGCAATCCCAGAATATGTGGGTATGTTCTCCAACCATCCTACAACCTCTCCAACACTTGTTATTAAAACACAGACTTTTAAAGGGGCTTAAAAACCTAATCTTTACTTCCAATCAAATTCAACACAATGCCAACTCTTTCTGCTTTGGGGCAGTTTTGGACACATTAAAGTGTCAGGGGGCAGTGGAGGCGTCCGTTCTGGTCGTGGTGATGATGGCGGCGGGGGAAATCTCCTGTAACCTTTGGTAGACAGCACATCCCTCCTTATATGTGCTCCCTCCAAGGACTGAGGCTGGGCCTGAGGGGGGGGGGGCAGGGCCGGCCCCCGGTGGATGCTCTCTGCTGCATTCATGACGGGTTTCCCCGCCAAGGCCGCCTCCTTGTCTGGGTAAAAGATTCCAGAGCCAAGGCCCGTCTGGAAACATGCCCCGCATCCCGGCCACCTGCAGGTTTCAACACACCACTTCAACTTTTTTAGAGGTTTTCTGGCTCTTTGTTCCGCTTGGGAAGCTTAGCTGGCCCTAATAGTTTCACTCCCTAACTTTAATCCAGTGCAACAGTTGTGTGACCCTATAACCCCCAAGCTCCAAAACTCAGGGGGCCAAAATGTAAAACCTGAACAAAGCCGCGGGCCAAGACTGAACAAATGAACCTTTTAATGTGGAACCAAACGAATACTGCTTTAACATTGAATATGGACCAAGCAACTCTTATTACATTATATATAACTTAATAGTGGAGACATGCTAAATCAAATTTCAAATAAAAAAACATCAATGGCATTCATTTATGAAATGATTTTTCTATTGGCAGCCTTCTGAATATCTAAATGAAATGTTCTTGACCAGAAAGCTCCTGTTTGTTTCTTTGGTCATGTGTGGGCAGCAGCACAGTGACAGCTGTAGTGTTTCCTGCTGTCACAGAGGAGTTTCTGGGTCCTGGACAGCAGCAGGGCATTATGGGAGTTGTAGTACGGGCCGTTAATGGTCTGTACAGTATAACACCGGGGGCCAGCTCTCAGAGTCATCTGGTATTGTCTCACGGGCCAAATAGAATTACAACCAGAGTTTGACCCCCTGCTCTATCAGATTTATTTGTAACTGAACATTTTCTCCATGCAGAGAAACCTCTTTCCGTGTTTAGGACAGAGTCCGGCGGCTGCTCTCCCTAAGCCGATACCCACCCTGTAAGAGTGTTCCTTAAACCTGCTGTCTCATGTTGGAGCAGCTTTCCCCCCCGGCACCAGGCCTAAAGCCTCTGGGGGCAAAGGACCAAGAAATGAAGCCTCTCAGTAGCAGAACTACCTGAGCTCTGCACTTCAAAGGCTGACAGAAACAGGCCGGGGGGGTGGGGGGGTGGGGGTCCTCTAGTGAGTGGGGACTCTTGACAAATAGGCTGGAAGCTGCAGTGCATCAGCCCACATGTGGACAGGAGGCTGGAGCTGGGGGGCTGATGGAGGGAATGACATACGGCCCACTTCCCTGGGGGGCAATAAACGTGACACACAGGGAAAAAAACACAACACAAAAACCCACTAATGTGCGCAGACACACACCGAACAGACAGGGGGGGAGAACTGTTATTGGTGGTGGGGTTTTGTGTTCATTCTGACTCTGAGAGCCAACACAACACAGCACTGTCCATGTTTATGTATATGTGTGTGTGTGTTCAGACAGAGACACAACACAACCACACAGAGATACAGGAAGGCCCCCAGGGGGGGGGGGGGGGGGCTGCAGAGGGAGGGAGTAAACCTCCAGACACCTGTTGGGAGGCAGACGGCCGCTCTGATTGGTGCTCTGCTCACTCAGGTTTGGATAACGGGGAGAAAACATCCAGAGAACGTGATAGTTTTCTGGCTCCATAAAAGCAAAGAGGACGCACATGGAGGGAATCTGGAGTTAAAATAAAAAACAGAGGCTGCCAGCCAGAGAGCCTCTTAGAGGTTTTTCACCACAGTGTCACCAGACAGGACTAAAGAGACAAAACGCCGGGAAAATGGCGTCTTTACCTCGTTTGCTCCCTCAAGGAAGTGCAGAGAAAAAAAGAGAATGAAAGAAAAAAATCTCCTTCATCTCTGTAGGAAACCTAAATCCTCAGAAAACTAAATTAAAAAGAGAGGAGTGTTTAACAGGCTGTGCTGTGAGGGGAAGAAGGCTCTCACAATTTGTTCCTCTGCCTTTTAGAGGGATCAAACCAATTAAAAACAAGCTGAGACACACACACACACACACACACACACACACACACACACACACCTGCTCACAGAGACACACAGCAGAGGCCGGCGGCACAATAAGAAATGGGATTCTGACAAACGGAGCGTGCTCAGAGGAAACGAACAGCAGATCGCTGGAGTTTGGAGCTCACAGAGAGCCTTCTGATGCTCAGAAACCCTCCTGTACCCGTAAGAGACCCCGTCAGGGGGGATCCCAGTCTGTGTGCTGCTCCGGTTTCTGTCTGAGGTGAAAAACAAGGCAAAGAAAAAGCGATTCCACACGAAAACTTAATGCAACACAACTGCTTTAATTAGTTAATTAATTAATTGGAGCAGATGGAAACAAAGCACAAACAACAGCTTCTGGTTTGGTCTAAACTGAAAACTTGTATCTAATAAAATCTTTAAAAATTCCACTCAAATTAGGAATCAAGAGAACACCTTCTTGGTTGTTTGAGAGATGATCATATCATCACATAATACTTTACTTTACTTGACTTACTTACTGTAAAAGTGGGAAGAATCTGTCAGTTTAATTTTACTTTTTGCTTTAACTAAGGTTTCCCTCTCAAATGCAATGGGCACATTTGCAGAATAAAAAGTGCAACCTCAGCTTTGTTCTTGGGTAAATTCGATACTCCCCCATTTATGCCGGTATTATGCTATGTATCTGTAAAGCTGCTTATGATAATCTGGCTTGTTGGACTCGGTTCGGGGCTTTTTGCAGCTGAGTTTTCGCCCCCCAGTAAACTCAGGTTTGTGCTTTTGGCTCATAGTGAGTTTTAGAACAGGCAGAAAAAAGATGTTTGCAGCACCTACTTTTACAGATCCTTTAAAATGTTGAAAAGTGGGATTTGGTGAGTGGACGTGTTCAGATAGTTCGGGGGGGGGCAGTCGAACCCGAGCCGAGTGTGGACACGCCCACATGCTGTTTAGTAGTTTTCTCACTTATTAGTTTATTCTTTAGTGTTTACACACTTTTCCACTGGTTTTGTTTGTACAATTGGTCCCGTAATACTGTTAATATCCTCTCTATCATTCATTCAGAGGATCAGAAGGGTTCAAAACGTAGGAATCAAAGGGAAGTTGTTGTGTTTTCTCTTTATTTTACACCTGTAACCTCCTTATAAAACCTCCTTTCTTTGTTGGAAAATGCCAATAAAGCGATTAGGCCGACTCTACCAGACATCCCCCCGAGCGGGGGGGGGGGCTCGGACACTATTTCCAGATCATCCCTGTGGGAACAGACTTCAGGAAGGAACCTATTCAGGTTTCCTGGGTCAGAGGTCAGAGGGGCTCTTAATTAGGCTCTCACAAGTATTTTGGGACTTTGGTAACTCACATTCTTTTCATTATATCTCCCACTAGGAAGGCTGCTCTGGAGGCCCAGAGGCTCCTCCAGATAAGGGCCAGCAGAATAAAGTCATGTCCAGCCGGAGGATCAGCCTGAGGGGGGGGTGCAAACAGCTGGGATTAAAGGAGGACCGCCATCCTCCGCTCTGACGCAGCCTCTTTGGTCTCGTGGTCGCTCGCATACTTTGGCTTCCAATGGGGGAAATCCCCCCTGGGATCCTAAAATACACAGTCAGGTCCAGATCCAACCAGGTCCAGGCCCAGGCAGGTCCAGGTCCAGGCCTAACCATGTCCAGGTCCAGGCCTAACCAGGTCCAGGCCTAACCAGGTCCAGGTCCAGGCAGGTCCAGGTCCAGGCCTAACCAGGTCCAGGTCCAGGCCTAACCAGGTCCAGGTCCAGGCCTAACCAGGTCCAGGCCTAACCAGGTCCAGGTCCAGGCCCAGAGGTGGTATTTGCACATGAAGTCTGATTAGAGAGGATCAGAAGCAGAGCGCAGCGGCCTGAGGTTCCGGCGGCCCCCGTGTGCTGCCCTGCCTTTATTTAGACCGCTCCAATCTTCATCTGAGACCCAGTGGAAGTTAATTTGGGATTTGGGGCAGCTGGGGCCACTCCGGGGTCAGAGAGGTCCTTCTCTGGGGCCGCTCACACATCAGGGCGACACCCGGTGGCTGCCCGGGGTCACTGCATCCCCGGGCTACGGGCTAGACCCCCAAAGAAAACGGGACCACAGCCAAAGGCATTTGAATCATTTTAATTTAGTCTGGAATCAGTTTTTAAAGGACCCTAAATTCACAACTTTCACTCTACGTGTACTCACACAGAAACGGACGGCGGGCGGGCAGACGGGGCCGGGCGGGGCCGTGAGCCCCCCCACCCAGCTGCACCCCCCAGCTGTGGGTGGGGGGGTGGGCTGGGTGGACTCTTGTGCCCACAACCGACCAGGAGGGAGCAGGTAGAGCTCTGACTGCACCAGGTGTTGAAGATGAGGGAGAGAAGGGGCAGCAGCTAGCTGACCTCTGGCTTCAACTCAGACGTGTTCTGATTGGCCGGAAGTCTACCTGATGAGGGGTTCAAATCATTAAGGCTAGCTCCCCTCTGAACCGCTCTTTGTTTCAGTTCCTATCCTGCTCTCTTCAAAAGAAAGAGAGCAGAAGCTTTGAAGACTTTATGGTGCAAACGCGTCCATCCTCTGGACCGGCTCCCGGTCAGGCTGCGGGTGGACGGCGGGTTGGGAGAGGTCATCTGAGCCTGGGGAAGATTCTGATGAAGAGGATCATGCTGATGAAGGTGAAGGAGACCAGGACCAGCATGAGCCACAGCAGCCAGTTGACAGACTTCTTGGTGTGCTGCTCCAGCCTCTCGGACTCCGTCTTCAGCTTCTCAAAGTTCAGGTCAGCCTGCCGCATGGACTGGCTCAGGGTCTGGGGGGGGCAGAAACAGCACAGAGTCAGCACAGAGAACACACAACTCTAGAAACACCAACAACCCCCTGTTAGAGCTCCGCTTCTACAGCCGACCGCTGCCCCCTTCTGGCCACAATGAGCCAGCGCATGTGACAAGTAAAGACAAAAAGGCTGATGGTGAGTGGACAGAACAGGGGCTCCATGCTCCTGTAGGGGCTCCTATGGGGGTCAGGGTCATTAATGCCATCCACCATAACATCAGTAACAGGTCAGTTTGAAACCAGAGACACTAACCTGTCAAAATCCAGTTAAATTTTGGGGTCTTTGTTTTTGTCCTTGTATCAAATATATTCCTGAGTATCGGTATAGAGTTGAACATTTTAGTATGGTCACAACCCTAGATGTCATATCGGGTCGTTTAGTGGGAACAGAAATCGTGAGCTGTGACCTTTTAACCCTAGGATTGGAAGTATGGCACAGTGTTCTTAAAGCCATCTGGCCCTGGCCACCTGTAGGGGTACTGCAGGCCGACAGTGAGAGCTCACACCCCCCAGGCTCACCTGGTTGTCCTGCTTGATGATGTTCTGGGCTGCCAGCGTGTTGTTCTTCAGGTTCCTGGCCAGGCTGAGCATGTCGTCGGCCAGCTTCTCCTGCAGGCTGTGGTGGTGCTGCAGGACGGCGTCCAGCTCTGCGGCCGACTGCCGCTCATCCAGAGGAAGACCTCTGCACAGCGGGGGGAGCAGAGCGTCATTAGGAGGAACTCTGAGGTGGTCAGAGAGCTGGACATGAGTTAGAAAAGTACCTTCTGTTCCTCAGCTCTGCCTCTGAAGGGCCTGGGGGGGGGGGGAGCAAAGAGAGGCTGCTGTGAGAACTAAAGGACTCCATAAAGAGAACTAGACGTCTGTAAAACCCAACATGTCTCACCTCTGCCTGAGGACCGCTGCAGGGAAACAGACAAAAAACAGGTCAGTCACGTCTGACCGGGGGCTCCTAAAAGGCTGTGCCCCCCAGAGGCCTGAGCTAAAGAGGTTCAACCCCCCCACACAGCGGCCATCTCGCCCCACCGTGCCGAGCAGCTCGTCCCTCATCTCGCCTGCGAAGCGGGCCTTCGTCTGCATGTGGACGGTTTTGGTGGCGGCCATCCTCTCGTTGGATATGGTGGGGGTCCTGCCGGGGGCCAGGAACTGATTGGCTAAGGCCTTTTCTGTCGGCGAAGACTTTGGAAAACAAAAGGAGGGACGGCAGCTCAGAAACTCAGCGTGCATCATTTGCTAGAAATGAGAAACTAGTCCTACATCAATCTATGAAACACGCAGCTATCTGAGCCCGTACCAGTTTCTCTGCCTCCAGGAGCCCCTTCAGGAAATCCACTTTTCTTGTGTATTCAGTCACAACTTCTGGCGTTGGTTTGCTGGAAAAAGACAGCGACAGAGTCATTCTGTTCTTTAAGTGTTGTAAAACCCTGTTAATGCTATCTGAGCGACAGATTGGGAGTGTGAGTACCTCGGGCTTTTCCTCAGAGCCACCAGCATCTCCTCCAGTGCAGCCACGTACTGCACAACACAAACACAGCAGGAAATGAGCACACATGCATCTCTGCTGACATTCAAAACCCTTTAGCCATTCCTGTTGGCTTGGACTGTTTAATTCGAAACATTTTATGTAAACTACTAAAGCCAAATTAATCTGGATGAACATAAAATCATTGACAGTGCTGATAAACAGTTATCCCACATGTATTTTTGAACTGATATTTTAACCTGTGCTACAGCTCTAACGCCCTTCACAGCATTATTTTCTGCTCAGTCGTAGCGTGATAGAAAATAAGTAACAACCTAACGGAAAAGGAGCAGTGCAACAGTTAAATGTGAGGCTTCTGGCAGCCTGCGGCTCAGAACTAGTCCGGTTACAGTGACGACGTGGCTAACAGATGCTAACAGATGCTAGCAGCGGCTAGCAGCTAACAACAACAGTGGTGCTAAAGAAAAGCCGGGAGCTGCTCAGACTTTGTCCATTACACCAAGCTGCGTTACCTTCTCTAACCGCCATTCCGTCTCTCCTCGTTTTTCCGACGCTATTGATTCACAGCGAGACAACAACCTGATGAAATTAATCTCCAGCCTTGAAGCCATATTGGAAGCTGACACACTGTCGCAGCAGTTTGACGTCATGCGGTTCGGCGGGTACGTCAACGGTCGGAGGCCACTCTCCAACCGTCCGCTTTCACGTGATATAAAGAGCTAAAGGTTCATTAATGAATTCATTAATAGCTGAATGGGTGTCAAATTGTTCCTCCTTTCTTTGCCTTTTTTTGTTGTCCCCAAAGAGTAAGGGGCCACTAAACTCATTGAGAAGGACGGTCAATTTCCTTAAAAATTTTAGTGACATCAAACATGAGAATCCAGTTTTTGCTGCTCACAAAAGGGTTTAATCTTACACCCGGTTCATATCTAACCACCACAAACAGAAACGATCACTTTAAAACAGAGAAGACATAAAATCAAGAAAGGACAAGCAGCCCCTGCTCTACTTTCTACCAGTTTTTCGTTGATCACACCGAGGTTATTTCAGCTTTGAGGCTATAATCCCAGATAAATGCATATAAACGTGTTTCTCACACATTTTTTTGTTGTTTTATACGAAACGACCTTTTTTATTTTATTTTTCCTGCGTTGTGTGGATTCACTGTCTTATCAAAAGGTTGCGAAAATCAGAGCTCATCAAGAGATCGACAGTTTTTCTCTTCATTGTTGTATTTCATGTTTCTAAAATAACATTTCTAGATGAATGAAAGAGATTTGTAGCATCTGTAACGTTTAATCACCAGTGTCAGTTAACTCTCATAAAACATCCCATAAAAATCACCCTTTTATGAGATAATTGGTTGTTAAAAACTCCAGACTACTACTTTGTGTGTGTATATATGTGTTTATAGGTCTAAATCTCTCATTAGTATTTTAACCAGGCAGCAGCAGGTGGGCCAGTCCCGGCCACCTTTTCTTTTTCTAGCTTTTTTTTCTGTTCAGAAAGGCTGGAAAATGAGTGTTTCACTCACTCTGGCTGACCTGTGACCTCAAAACTCAGATTGAATCTCTTGTCCTTTATTCTCAGAACAGTTTTTGTTGTAAGTGTGATACTGAAGAGTAAATACAGTTGTCAATCTAAGATTTTTATTAAACTCAAGTCCTTAAAACCTGTCTTTAGAATTCTAATGAATTCATAAACCATCAGATAAACTATATTCGGTGGTTCTGTTTCTACATTTAGGTCAGGATGTTGCTAAATGATTCTGCTTTATTGAGCTATTATTAGTCCTCCCAAATGACCTTCTCTTCGTATCAAAGTTTCATGTTGGTATTATCTATTGTTCATATTATAACTAAACTCTATGGTGGCCTTTGGCTTTGATCAAAGCTGCTAATCTTCCTTTTCCGAGTTGTTTTGTGCGTTAAAATGATCTAAAATGCTTTCCAGTTAATAAGTGTGCCATATTAAAACCTTAGTGCGTTGATAACTTATTTAGCTATCATGAGACGGTCATTTGTGTTGATGCAAGGCAAAGGATTTCTCATTTAACGGAAAATAGCTCATCCGGGATTAACCGAAGCCACCAAAATCAGTGTGTAGAAAACTGCAGGAACTTTGAATGTTCTCGGGGTCTGTTGGGAAATCCAGACAAAGCGACAGAGACTCACCTCTGGAGTGGACCGCCAGCCTCCAGCTTCTGTGATTAACACCACAGGGCTCACCAGGCAGACGTCTCGGACCCATAATTATCTTTCCAACTGGACACTAACAACAATAAAAACTCCTCCAGGAAACCTGAGCATCTCAGGAAACTCCTCCGGCCGATGCAGAAGTCTACAATGACCGCGCGGTTTCACAGGTACTGCCTGGTTTACAGGTGGTTTAGTTTAAAAATGGCCAGAGTAAAGGAACCCATGCATGCAAATCCATGTTGACACAGACTATCCAGGTATTAACCCGAATGAGCTGCTTGTTGAAGACCACTGTAAAGGTTTCTTTACCACCAAAAAAGGAAAAAACTTAGTAATAAAACACCTGGTAAAGCAAGGGAGGATTCTTGAATTTCCCCTTTGGGGATCAATAAAGTATCTATCTATCTATCTATCTATCTATCTATTCTTAAAGGTGCTAGTGTATCCGGGGCCATGTTGGCTAAATAATGGCTCAAATACGGGTGATGGAAATCAAACGTCACATTCAATGGGTGGTTTACTTAAAGGATGGAGACTCTGTGTTTTCTCTCATTTACTCAAATAAAAACCCACTAAGTTTGGATTCCACTCAACTGAAGCACACAGCGGCCGGAGTTACAAGCGTTGGACTGTATTTTCATGTTAATACTAAGAATTGTTACAGTTCATGTCCCATTCAGTCCCAGACACACTCTCTGTTACACATCAGGAGGTTCTCCTCTGGATGCGTCCAGACCAACAGGCACCGGTCAGAGGAGCTTTAGTATTACATCACACACACCACGGGGTCCGGCTGTGCTTCGGGGGGGATGTGCTCCTCACCCCCCAGCAAAGTCCTGCTGGTCGAGGCTTTAAAGACGTCGTGGTTGGTGGAGAAAGTGGCGCGTGCTCCCCCCGTTTCCCTTTGCCGTGCACAGAGCAGGACTTCCCCTCTGGCCGTCTGCCCCGGTCTCAGCACGTCTCGTATCAGTTCAGTACAATAAACCCCCCCTTTGTTTCTCCAAATGACCCCCCCACCCTCTACGAGCACTGTTCTTTAATTACAATGTGAGAAATGTACAATATGAAGGCACTAGCTAACAGTTCAGAGCCTCTTTTGCTCGGTAGAAGAAAACAGAAAGGAAAAGTGCGACTCATGAATGAGCACATTAAAAAAAAAAAAACAGGAGGAAATAATCATGGTGAGGCCACAGGAAATGCAGCCTCTGCTCCAGCTGAATTCATCAGCAGTAGCCACAACATACTAAAACCGTAGAGAAGGTGCTTGGCAACAGCTTTTCCAGCCCCCGCTTTGTGTGGCTGAACTCTGACTGGTCAGCAGGCGCCCACGGGGCCGCGGCCCCTCTGTCCCATGTGACGCTGCTTCTGTCCGATTCCTGAAGTCTCCACAGCTCTGAAAGCTCTCTGACAGCTCTCTGAAAAGCTCTCGGAAAGTTCTCTGAAAAGCCCTCTGAAAACTCTCTAAAAGCTCTCTGAAAACTCTCTAAAAAGCTCACTGAAAAGCTCTCTGAAAGATCTCTGAAAAGCTCTCTGAAACCTCCTGAAAAGATCTCTGAAAAGCTATCTGAAAAGCTATCTGACAGCTCTTGGAAAAGCTCTTTGAAAGCTTTCTGAAAGGTTCCTGAAAAGCTCTCTTAAAAGCTGAAAGCTGTCTGACAGCTCTCTGAAACCTCCTGAAGGCGGGCTTTGAGCGGCCGGCTCAGACGTCCTGGTCCAGGTAGGGCACGTCGGGGTTGGAGAAGCGTCTGTGCTCTCTGAAGCCCTGGCCCTGCTGGAGCTGGAGCGGGGGGGAGCTCAGGATGGACGGGGGGGGGGGGGGGGGGGGGGGGGGGCAGGAGAAGGGCAGCAGCAGCTGGGGCTCGCTGCTGTCCACATAGAGCGACTGGACGCTGTCTGTGCGGCGGCCCGGCCGCCCCCGCCTCCTGACCGGGGGTGCGGGGGGGCTGGAGGAGGGGACAGACTGGGAGACCCCCGGGGGGAGTCTGACCGTGTCGGGGATGAGCGGCCGGCGGCGCTGCAGCGGGTGCCGGGGGGGGGCCTGGGAGGACTCGGAGGCCGAGGAGGCGCAGCTGGACAGGGAGGAGGTGGAGCCGGAGGGGCTGAGGCCGGGCGGGGGGGGGCGGCCACCAGGGACTCGAGGGCGCTGGGCCCAGACTGGCCTGTGTCTCCTCAGCTGGACACCACCTCGGCCTGGAGGAGAGGGAGAAAGAATAGGGAAGTGAGCCAGAGGAAGGAGGGGCGGATTTAAAAGAATGACTCCAGAAGCCCAGAGAGTTAAAACAAATGGAAGATCATGCAACCGTGTTATCTAAAACAGTAGATTCAGTGTACAAATAAATTTAATTTAATTTCAGAAGGTGCCAAATGTTCAATTTATGAATCATCTCTGCATGCGTCTGTGCTACAGGTGGATTGACGTGCACACAAACAGGGTTGCTGTTCCTCCAACCTGCTTTGTTTACAGAGCAGACGTCAGCGAGCCCATCACCATCACTGGTCCAGACCTGCACCACAAAACACAGGAAGGGCCCAACCCAGTGGCCCCGTGGTCTGGTCAGAGATCCACAGGTGAGTGAGAGGGACAGGTGGGAGGAGGGGGAGTCCCCAGAGGAGGCGGATACTGACCCTCCAGCTCGGAGCTGTGGCTAGAGGAGCGCTGCTGCTCGTCCAGAAGACTCTCCGAGCTCAGCGAGGCCTCGGAGTCCAGGTTCTCCTGGTCTGAACCAGGCTGCTCCATCTCGGGCAGGCGAAAGGCCAGGTTCTCCCTGAGGAGAGGAGCAGGAATGCATCATTAGAGGCGTAAAGAAAGGAGAGGAGGAGAGGGGGAAACGGCCTCCTTACTTCTCCTGCTTGATGGACTTGATGCGCTCCACCAGGTTCTTCTCGGCCTCGGTGTCCGAGTCCAGAGGCTCGTTCTCGTGGACCACTCTGAGATCAGAGCTGACCTTCTCATGCACCTGCAGGACACACAGCGTTTCACACTGACGCCCCGACCCAAACGGAGCAGCTCAGAGGTGCCAAACAGCCAATAAACACACACAAACTCAATCTGAAACCCAGCCAGAGTTGTTAGTGAGGTAAAAAAGAAAAGCAGGCTGGATGCTGCCTGTGGCTTTCATGCTTCTGCAAAAGGAAATGTCTTGATATTTGTGTGCATTAATGACTAAAATCAAATAAAAATAACAGCAGAGAGAAAAACGATGACCTCTCACAATACAACTGCAACCCAAACGGGGCTCACAACTCAATAAAAAACAGCAGCTTACAGAATACCATGGAGAAAAAAAAAAGCAAGTCCCACCACTGTTAGAATACTATCATCCAAGGACATCATCAACCCTTTTCTAGAACAGAACAACCAACCTGTCACATCACAAGCAGGACATGAAACAGACCCACAGCAACATGCAGCTACTCCCAGTTAGTATGGAGGGGGATACCATTAAGGACAGACGTCCGGGGCAGAGACACCTCACCCGCTACTAACATGCCATGCAGAGGCGCTTGGACATGGCCAACTACTACACACTACAGCTACCAGAGTGGACCAGCAGGGCTGGAGGATACATACCACCACTCCTTTGTAAGGAGCTGAGAACCTGAGGGGTAAATGCCAGCAGGGCTAAAGAGAAACAAGGAACATCGGCCATGTTACGCAGGTCACCCCAGACAAACTGACCATGGGCTGGTCAGCCTACAGGGGTACAGTAGAGTAGTGCTCCTGGGGTTTTAACCAGTGTGCCACGGTCTGAGCATGCTCAGAGACCAGCTGAGGCCCAGCTGACCCGGAGCGGGGCTCGGGTTGTTCCTCACCGTGTTCTTTCTCTTGAGTTTCAGCTGGTTCACAGCCAGAGCCTCGGCGTACTCCAGCTGCTCAATCTCCTCCATCTTCTCATTGTAGCGCCTGATCTGCTCCACGATGATCATCTCCAGACACCTGCAGGCAGAGCAGAGATAAGGCACCTGGGCAGGTGGCGGATATAGGCTGGTCCAGATCCCATATCGGCCACCGATATTTGCAAGAAAATTTGTATCGGCCGGCAGGATAAAACCCAGATCCAGACTCCAGATCCGATCATTTTCCAGCACACCCTTAAGCATTAGCATTAGCATCTCCTGCCCACAGCTAACCACTAAGACGGCCATGTGAGGCTATCTGTAAAAATGTCAGTTGTGTGGGATTATTTTATCCTTAAGGACCAAAAAGTGAAGAGCTGGATGTAAAACAGAGTACTGATGCTGAGTTCATAGTGTATTTTGCCTTTTTAATACAGTTTACAATATTATTTGCACTTTTTACTGTTCACTGATGCGATTTCCGTGTTTTATCTTTAATTTGGTCTATTTTTGTGTTTCTCCCTGAATAAACAGGTCAGTGTCTCTTTACCAACCAGTGTGTATTATTCAGACTCCCCTAATTCAGCTGGCTAGTTGTTATCAGAGTAAATCCCTGTTCAACATGAGTCTGACAACTAAGGAAGTAGACTAAGTAACTTTAGACTTTAGTACAGGGTCTGATAGGCTGGGTTCGGATCGGAGGAGCAGAAAGCTGGACGGGGACGTCCCTAGGCGGATATGACCCTCTGAAAACAGCCGGTCTTACGTGGTGGTTTTGGCGACATCCTTCATGCTGAGCAGTGGGTCGGCGCTGTCAGGGCAACGCAGGACGCACGGGGCGAACACGATGGCCAGCGAGTTGGGAGACATTCGATTGTGAGCCTCTTCTTTGGAGACCCTGCAGACACATTTTCAGACAGCTCTGTCTTACTTCATCCTTCCTTTTTTAAACAAAAAGTGGATTGAGTTCCATTTTGTGGGGCAGTTTTTCTTTATGAGTTTGAAAACAAACTCAGCTAGCCTTCCTGGATAGATAAAGTTTCTAAATTGATGTCATGATTCAATCAAAGAAAAGGCCAGAGAATCCCAACCTGACGAGGTGGAAGACGAGCCGCTCCAGTGTGTTGAAGTTAGCTGTGGGGAGATCCTCCAACACTTTATAAATGGCTTGAATCTGCTCCTGCTTCTCAGGAAGTTCTGAAAGGAGAAGACACACATGCGACCCTCTAATCCAGCTCTCATGTCTCGGGACCAATAACCGACTGGTGAACATTTGGGAGCTGAGCTTAACCTAACAACGGGTCGTTGACTAGAACAAAAAAAGGAGGAAACATTGAAAGGGGCGTGGCTCCTGAGGTGAATCGTCCTCCTCACCCACTGCATGCAGGAAGTCACTGTAATGAGTGAAGGTCATGAGGGGGTCGGGCAGCTCCCTCAGCCACTGCTTCACCAGCCCCGTCACCGTGTGGATGGGATACTCATCGAGGGTCACCAGATGTGGGTCTGGATGCACACAACCAAACACAAGTTGGAGAAGACCCAGGAGGAGGTATAAAAGCGTTTGTTTAAGGACAGGGATGGACAGTCACCGGTCTCCAGGCGCTGGTGCAGCTCCTTCATGCGGTTGGCGGAGCCGGATTTGCGATAGATGCCCTCGGTGTAGAGGCCGTTCATCTCCACGTGCTCCAGCATCATCTCCAGCACCATGGGCACCGGGTTCTTATCGCTGACCAGGTGGTGCACGCGCACGCCAAAGTGCTGCCCCGTGAACTCCTCATCGCTCTGGGGACAGACACATGGAGGGAGGCGCTCATTCAGGCCTGGTCCAGGGAACCCCACCCGCCCACCCGCCCCAGGCCCACAGCAGCCGCCCAACAGACCTTTTTGGCGCTGAAGGTGGTGCAGTCGGTCATGATCTTGGAGAGGCACTTCTTGTGGCACACCATTTTGCAGTCTGTCAAACAAAACCCTGAATCAGTATTTTGTTAGGGGGGGCAACCTTTAGCTTGTGCTGTTTACTCACAGCTGCACATGTAGGCTTTCTCCATGCCCCAGATGTAGGAGGTACACTGGTCACATGACTGCATGATGCTGACTTGGTAATTGGCGAAAGTATGATCCAGAGGGCTCTCCATCTGGAGGACGGAGGGAGAACACACTCACATTTAAACCAGAGCTGAAAATCCTGACTGTGGTGGTGAGGAAAGGAGTTTTCTGCTTACGCTTTTATCCTTCTTCCTCCTCTTCTTTCTGGCTTTGGCAGGCTGAAACACACAGATAAAGGTATGAGCACATCAATCCTTTTGCCCTATCAGACAACAGACTGTGATGTTGCAGCTCCGTGGTCCACCTTGGCCGGTTCAGCCTCCTCCTTCCTCATCTCTCCTCTTATAAAGCCATCCAGCACCGACTGAAACAGGTTGACCACAAGTTGGACTTCTTCTTTTTGCTTGCTGCCTGCCAGGTGGATCACTTTGTTCTGGTACCCTGACATTAGCCCCTTGTAGCCAATGGTAGGTTTCTGTACAAGGAAGGGAATGATGTCAGTGTGCCTGAGTTGTGCATGGGTCTTCTTTAAGCCTTCAGAGGGACCTACCGGTAGGGAATACATGGCTTTGATGGACTCTCTGAACTGCATGGTGGCTGTAACAAAGATGGCCTCTGTGGCTGAGAGCGACTTTCCCCTGGAGCGGAAATCATTGACCTGCAGATGAACACAGACATTGTTGTGTGGAAATGCCCATCAGATAATTCACCAAATGATTTCCAAAGCTGGCATGAGGCTGCCCTTGGCTGACCTGGTTGCCCAGGAACTCATCGAGCTGGCGCAGCTCGTTGGTGTTGGTGATCTCTCTGTCCAGCGAAGCGTTCCACTGCTCCGAGACCCTGGTGGCACGGCTGATTTTGATAGTGGGGTTTCGGCCTAAACTCTTAACAGGACGGTCACTTTGGGACTGGGACAGTGGCCAGGACGGGTGTCCGGATGGTGGTGCTGAAAGGGAGAAGGCTTTACCAAACACGGATCTCTACAGAAGGCCAACAGAGGAGACAGGGGGCTGAACATTTTATCCCCCCTCAGACGAAGGGCTCTGAATGAAACCGCAGCCAGAGGGAAGCTTTCATGTGAGCTTGAACCTGCACGGGTCAATGTTTTCTCAGAAAGCAAACAGGGGAGATTATTTTCTTGTCCGATAACACCTTGCGTTAAGTCATGGAAACACTGCAGCTGCTCGGTAAAAGAAGAGAGAAGTTACCTTCCCCCGGCGTGGACCTGTCACTGACACCCTGAGCAAAAGTCAGTTCTCCGTTGTCGGGAGTGTGGGCCTCTTTGAGGGGCCGCTTTTTCAAAATCTTGCTGAAGAAGCCGACTGATCTGAGAGTACAAAAAGAAACAAAACAGAAAATGAGGGGTTTATGAACGTTAAGTTCTACATTTAAAAAGAGTTCAGTACGAGCTTTATCTTAATTCAAAATGCCATTTTGTGTATAAGAAAAAGGTTTGAATCACAATCAGACATTGATTAGTAATCGACAATCCAGACTGAGTAAGAAAGAGAAATTTGGCTGGGAGAAATGAGCCCAGCTTCGGAAACAGTTGACTTTTTCTTTACAAAACCTATACAATAAATCAGATCTTACAAATCAGAGAAGACTCCTGTCTATCTATGTAAAGAGGGCCCTATTTTACTGTTACTGTCTTCATCTTGAGATTTTATCTTTGGACTTTTAGCCAAACCACAAACAGAACATTACACCTGGATCTCTGAGCTGCTTTGGATGGCTGTAGGACAATGGTAGAATCATATTTAAAAACAGAACAAAGTCTGGATGAGCATACCTGTCAGGCGTGGATGGGATGGAGTGGCTCGAGTCTGGCTGACCAGAACCTTCTTGGTGTCTCTTTCTGAAGGAACTTCCTTTTGAACCTTCACCATGATGATCTGATGAGGAAATGATCTGCAGATGAGGAGAAAATGGTTAATCTTGAGACTTTAGAAAGTGTGTCGAGGTTAAAATGCAATCAAGTCTGACTCAATCTATTTTGGTCTGTGAGGTTCCAGACTAAATACTGAACATACGTCTCTGATTGAAATGGCACCAGCTCCTTCAGAACCTGGAGACAAACTGTCGATCGATGAGGAGGCCATTTCACTCCTTCAGAGGAAGAGAAACGCATCAGTTTATGAAAAGCTTATGACCTATAAAGTATGTTAGTGGGATAAAAGGATGCGGCCTACAGCTGTGCTTTTTTCCTCTTCTCCTCTTTGCTGTGGGGTGGAGAAGAGCTGGTTCCCTCTGCTTGTTCTCCATCACTGGGCTTGGCCCTCCACTTGTCGGGCTTCTCCTTTATGGCTCCTGGCCGGCGCTGCAGACTTACTGTCCCAGCGTTCTCGCCTGAGCCGTTCCTGTCCTGCACAGAGTCGGCCGGCTGCAGGGCTAAGGTGGCTGGGCGGACGGGCCCAGGTTTTGCCTCTTTCTTCCCCACCTTGTCAGCCTTCATCTTCCAGGCCACAAAGGTGTACTGGTCCAGCTCCTTGCTGTCCGACCGCTCTTTTAGCTTAGACGTCTCTTGGTTTTTGCTCTTCAGTGGGGAGGTCTGATCCTTGTTGGTGGAGGAGGAGCTGGAAGATGAGGAGGCTCGTTCGGTCTCTCTCTGGTTGTGCTCCAGCCCTCTTTGCCTTCTCTGCTCTCTCTTCTCCAGGCTCCTGGAATGAGGGCCCTTGCTGACAACCGAAGGTTGTGCCTTCTTTTGCTCGGCTTGTGGAGTTGTGGAGGTAGTTCCAGCCTGTTGGTCCTCCCCCAGAGGAGGAGAAATGGGTGTAAGTGCGTTGGAGGTTGGAGATCCTCCTTTTTGTTTCTCCAAATCCCCCTCATCCAACTGGGGTCCGGCCCCAGACAGGGTTTCCAAATCCAACTTCTCTTCATCTCTGCTCTGCTCCTCGCCTGTTTGCGAGCTTGTATTTATCGCTTCAGCCTCTTCTTCCTCGTCCCCCTCATCGTCCTCCACCTCTGGGACAGGGAGGTTTTCATCCAGCATCTCCTCTGTGACCAGCTCTATGTCTGGATCCTCTCTTGTCTGAGGCTCCCTTTCCAGGCTTGTCTCCTCTTTCTCCTCTGCTCTCCTCCTTGCTTCCTCCTCTTCAGCCTGTCTCCTAGCCTCCTCCTCCATTCTCAGCCTCTCTTCCTCTTCAGCTCGTCTCCTGGCCTCCTCTTCCTCTTCCCTCTTCCTTCGTTCTTCTTCTTCTGCTCTCCTCCGAGCCTCCTCCTTCTCCTGCTGTCTCTTCTGTCTCTCTTCACGCATCGATTGGCACCTGCCATCCACAAGACAAACAGCATAGCACCTAAAGATTTTTACCAGCATCAAAGCTCCACCAAAAGACGGATGCTAGGACTCCTTTACCGTCTGCGTGCCGAGTGTCCTCTGACCAGGGCTTGGATTTTAGTAGCGCCTTGCTTTTGCCTGTGGTACTCCTGCCTCTGTCTGTGGCCTCTCCACAGAGCCTGGATCACAGCTGCGGCCCGCCGACGTTCCTCCTCTCTGCAGTACCTCCGCCATGAACGCTGAGGGAGGGGAAAAAGGACATTAAGCCTGGGTTTAAACGCTGCTCTTCTGCTGAGAAAGTATGAGGTTTATGCAAAAGAACCTGGGATTTACCTGGATTAAGATGGCGGCCTGTTTCATGTCGACAAACTCCTGCCTCTGCAGGCGAGCTCTGAACCAGCGTTGGAGGAAGATGATCTTCCGCATCACCTCCTTGTGCAGCATGTCCTGCAGCTGCTGTCTCTCCATCTCCTTCAGGAACACCTGAGCCGACAAAACACACCAGCACTGGCATCATTCTAGAGCCAGGAGCGCCGGCGTCCAGCAGGAGGAGGATCGGGAGTGCCCACCTTAGTCTTGCCTATCTGGTAGGTGGTGGGGTCAAGGCCCATTTTCTTGCCGAGCAGCACCGAGATGTCCTCTTTAGAGGCCGGGGAGTTCTTTGGCAGCAGAACTCTGAACTGCTCAATGAATTCCTGTCAGACACATAACATAAAGCAGGTATTGTAGATGGGACATGTTCAAATGATCCCCCTTTCTCACATCATCCTTTGGGCTTTTACACAGGGAGAGCAAGCGGCTTCTTTTGTCTTTCCATTAATTTTCACCTCCATTTAGGAAGATTATTTTAGGGCACCAAGTGTCCCACTTACCTAAATTCCACCTCTTTATCCCTCAAGGTCCATTTCTTTTGAGATTTGTGCTACTTTTTAACCCTAGGAACAGGTTATTGAGGCATTACAATGTCTACAGTAGTTAGCCTGTGAGCTCAGACCTCACATCAATCTGACTGACAGTTGTTCTTGTTTTCCTTTTTCTGTTGTTTTACCATAGAAGCCAGCTGATGGCACCGGGGACCTTTTCTGCATTGCTCCCCTAAACTCGAGACTTCATAGTCACACTATTTTTCTGTGGCCTGTTTCGATCTGGGTGGTGATAAAATGCTAGGGTTGTACTTTTCTGAGCTTACAATCTGGTAGTGATTTAAAAAACAAACAAACAATGTCCTCCAAAGTATAGGGAGAAAAGTGATGTTCCTCCAGAAAGCATAACACGTGGACACAGTCTTCATGTCTGTTCATAACATCACAGTAACTTCTCCAAATAAGAATAGGTGTGCCTTACCTGGAACGTGTACTTGGCTCCGTAGCCTGACCTCCTGATGCGAACCGTTTCCAGCATCCCTGTGTAACGCAGCTGCTGAAGCACCAAGGCCTCATCCAGGCACATCTCCCTCTGCTCAGAAATGGTTACAGACACACAAAAGAAACTGGTTTGGTGCTCGTCTCAACATCTAAAAACCCACTATTTCATACAAATACACGATCAAAGTTTGACTGAGTTAGTATCGTTTAATGGGGATGCAAATATAGCACTCTGATGAAGAGTGGAAAGGCAGGAAAAAAGAAAAGTCAGTGGTGTAAAATATGTACCAAACGTCCCTCTGACAATGACAGAAGGTCGTCAGGGAACAAATGAAAAGATTGTCTCACCTTCTCAGCATTGGAACGGATGCAGCGGATGAAGAAAGGCTCGGCTTTGTTCAGAGTCTCTAAGAGTTTGGTCAGAGAGTTCTGAAGAAAACACACAACACTTTGCTAAACCTTTTTGCTCAATTAAAACGTTTCTCTATAATGTTGTGGCATGAATTTACCTTTATTTACTCATCCATGTGTTATTCAATAAGAACAGAAGGCTTAATGTTGCACAGGACGTTACCTGGAACTGTGCACTGATGCTGGGAGTTTTCTTCTTTTTGTGCAGGTGCAGCAGAGACTTGGTGGTGCGATCGTGGAGCGTCAAACTCACAATGAACTTCAGAGATCGAGAGTCCAGCAAACTCTGCACAGCATTAATGAAGCAGGTTAACCGTCTGAGTTGTCACGGACATCAAATATGCTAAAGTCTTCTCTTTTCTCTGGTTTCTGCTCAGGCTTACCTTGGGTATGGCCTGCCTCTGTTTAATGCTCTTGTTCTTCCTGTGAAAAAGGGAGAAAGAAGAGGGGGGTGAGTTACATGCTGAGGCTTTGGATGTGGTGGATGAAATGGAGTGGCGGATGAAGAGTGAGGCCAGGTTAGTATAGTGGGTGGCTTCCTCAAGCGCAGTCAGTCAGTGATGAAATGAAGCCTTGCACCTAGATGGGACGAATGACAGACAGATGCAGTGACAAGAGGAAGATGGAGGAGTGGGCTGCAGGAGATGGGATGCAGCTCTACACAATCAGGCAGCAGAATCTCCTCACACAGAGACTGACATGCTCTCTTCTGCTCGTTAAAGTAGGCTGTAAAGACTCTTCCTGTTCTCTCTGCGGAGCTTTGTGCACATGCTAACATGCTGAGAGGCTGCAGGTGCAGTTTTGCTCATCATGTAAATCCTGCGTGCCGTCAGGCTGTTTAGATTCATGCCGCAGTTGAAGTTTTCCATTGCAACTCAGGCTTCATTCTCCAAAAAGTGGATCTATAAACGAGAGCTTATAATATACTGTGTGAAGAGGAAGCAGCCGTGTACTTGATGCTTCTATCAGACTGCTCCACAAGAGACATGAATGATTAACTCTTTAGAGAAGGTAGAAATGTGGCAGCTCAAACTGAGCAGTTATATTGTCCTAAGGAAAAACTTCAGATCTACTGGGAGCCTGTTCTGGCTGAGTTCAGACTGCGCTGCTGATCTGGAGAAGAGCTGCTCCAGCTCTGTCTGCAGACTCACTGGAGGAGGTGTCGCGGGAAGCGTAGGCGACCCCAGGATTGCAGCAGCTTGCGAGGGTCCTCCCCATCCAGCTGCAAGTTCTTAATGGAGCTGATGATCTCTGCATGCATGTCTCTGATCAGCACACACAGGTGTGAACCCAGACACGGAGGGGAGAAGAATGGGACCGCAGACAAGGGAGTAGGGGAGGGAAAAACACGAGATGAGTTGGGGAAACCCCATAAAAGAAAGATGGAGGGAGACAGAAAAAGCAAAAAAAAGTGACAAAACACTGCTGTTAGGACACCTCCAAAAAACCAAAGACAAACCACACAGCTTCGACACAGAGAGAAACGTCAGTTCTCACAAGCTGTTCAAACGCAGACAGACTTTTCTTTAATGGCTCGTATTTGATCAAACCAAAGACACACTGGACCACCCGAAGGCACAGAAGAGACACACAGAAAGAGGGATTGGTTGCTGTGTTGGAACACAAATGCCTGCCACCGTGATAGTGAGCATGCAGAGCTGAGCTGGCGCCCGGCTGGTTGGCCTCTGATCCATGCTGCGGCTGTTACCGGCTCCTATGTGACTGCACGTTGTTACTGGTGAGACGCTCATCACTGGGAGTGGTGTTACACTCGAGTCCGGGTCTGGTGAGGTTAATTTTGGCTGCCCCCCCGAGATATTTCATGCAGAACATTCCTCTACTTACCAGCATTGAGCATGAAAACAGAGGTCAGGCAGAGAAGGATGTGTCCCTGATAAACTAGCAGCATTGGAGTGAACCCTGACCCCTCTATGTGTGCAGAGCTGGAAAGGACTGGGTGATTTACAGCTGGTAAAGATAAGTTATTTGGCTGTATCTAAAGCCAACCAGTCATTTCAGATCTGAACACAAGAGGCAGAAGGTCAAGGTTCAGCAATCCTAAAATAACATCATGGTTTGATTCTCTTCAGAGAAAGCTCTCACAGTTGTCTTTTTGACAAGTCATCTCTGTGTGTGGAGGAAAATGCGTGTGCTTCCAGGACTCCACAGCTGATGGAAGTAATCTGAGCGGCTAATCAGAAAAGGCCTGCACAAACACTTTCCTGTGCTCCACAGCAAGGATAATAAACGTGAGACGGAAGAGGGATTATTGCAAATAGAGAAAAAACGAAGGGGATTACAGAGGAAAGGAGGGGAATTCAAGTTAAAGGGAAACTTTCCCTTACTATTCTCTTTACCACATTCAGCTTCCCCAACACTGAACATTCACTACTCAAATGATGAGATTGACTAACATTTTCAAAATGTTTTAAATGAGAGCAAACTAAGAAGATGGAGCAAACCAATATCTACAATACAAAATGAAAATTGAATCCTTCCTGCTTGGCCTCGTGTCCTCATTCCTGTCCAAGTTCACTTACTTCTTATTTTCATAGCTAGCAAAGATGTCTTCAAAGGCCTCTAGAGGGCGCTCCTCTGAATGATCAAAGTAGAAATCGAGCATAGATGCTCGTCTGTGGAGGGGAGAGGCAGAGGAGAGAACCGCATACACTGGGGTCACCAAAAGGTGGAGGATGAGGGTGACTGAGATGAGGTAAAAGGGCTTTTCAGGAGGGTTTTCAGGGTCAGATCCAGTAAACAAACAACAAACAGATCATTCCTCATCTCATTCAGTACCAGAGCATGAACAGAGAGGTCCACAGCACACCCAGTAAAACAGAGGGAACATTTAACAGAAAACACATAGTTGTGCGGTTTATGAGGAGAGGAAAAACAGCACTTTCAGTTGGAGGGTGAACATTAAGTCCATTTGAAATAATCAGCCTGAGTGTTGTGAAAATAAAAAGTAACAGTTATTAACCACAACACGAACAGTGCCGGGTGTCTGCCGCCACATCCACAGGGACCATAGTAGATACATTTCCTCCAGAAAAAGCAGAGCTGACCGTCAGAAAACAGCCCCAATTCAATCAAAACAGAGAGATAACATTTAGAGATCCATCAAAACACAAAAACACACCGTGCACATTACTTACTTATACATTCTTTCTATCGGGGTGTTGGACCTTTGAAGCTCGCCTAACGGAGTTCTGGACACGGGACGGACAACACCTACGAACGACATTATTAAATTTGATTAAAAGGTGGAATAAAGCCCCACAACAGACCATTTTCTTTTGTTCTTCTCATAATTGCGTCATTGTTCATCCTCACAAAGCTGCAGAAAAAAATATGAAAAGCCTCAAATTTGTAGTCTTCTCATTTTTTCCCCCAACATGTTGACAAGAATTGCGTAATTACAGAGCAACGCAGAGGTCTGAAGCCGAATCTTTAGTCATACCAACTCACTGCTTCACTGTAGGCCTTGCAATGATTTAGATTAACACAACAGGTCAATAATCTTGGAAATGCTTGGCGCAAATGTGGGGAGACGAATGTGAACCATGCACATTCAATTTTTGGATGATGTGCATTTTACAATTGTTGGAATATTTGGCTACCAGATACCCAAAACATTCACAGTGTTGTATCTTGGAAATGTCTCAGGAAACATTTAGTGTAAATCTGACAGGTACCCGTTTAAAATCCTGATCGCTGCCAGTAAAAAAACAATCACCAAAAAATGGTACAAAGAAGACCCCCCTGACAAAGAGGACTGGCTGGAAATGGTTAAGGACATATATGTCATGAGGACTTGACCCACAGAATAAGACTAAAGATGGACTCCTGTGTGGAAAAATGGACAAAGTGGATTACTTACATTATAGTGACTAATTGCACATATGGGACATTGTTTACCAGCTTGAGTCATATCCCAATCCGGACAGTATATAGCTTTGTTTATCTTGTGTGACTTTTTTTAATTGTTAAAAGAAATAGGTTTAAAAAAAAAGAAAAAATCTTGGAAAAGCAACCAGGAAAAGAGAGAGACTATTGGACTCCAGGAAAGCACCTGCGGTTTTAGCTGCCCAGGAGCGGCCGGCCTGGTTGAAGGCAGCAATGCCCCTGATGGTTGCCCGCAGGATGCCCCATCGAAACATGGCCACCGGGTCCATGCCGATGAGCTGCCGCACAAACGCCCGGTCGCTGCTCCGCAGTAAGGCCACGATGTCTGGGCGCATGTGGTCTGTGTTCTTCTCTCGGAAGTCCTGCTCACAGACATTAGGATGGTTAAAGCTGACCTTTGCTTATGATGCCTTTAATGTTGGACTTTTCCCTCCGTTACCTTTATTTGGTATTTGACTCTTCCTGCAAAGTGCTGAATGACAAAAGCGGGTTCCATAACTGGAGTGGGAACAAAGTATTTGTTGCCTTGATGCTGCTGCTTGAATTTGGCCAACAAGGTCTCATCTGTGGCGTGTGGAAAGCTGGCAGGAAGGAAAGAGGGAGGCAGGGGAAGAGGGGTGGACAGAGAGAGGAGTTAATGAACGTCTCCTGGACATGGAAACAGCTAAAGCCGGGCGTACACTGTGTGATATTTTCTATTGTTGCTCCTAGCTGCAGCTCAAACTGCACCACCAAATCGTAAAGTTCAAAGTTCACAGCTCACGATTTCTGTTCTTAAACTATACGACCCGATATGAGATCTGACCTCACATCGTACGTCCAAAAACGCACGTCGGACTTGAAATAGCTTTGGCAATTTGCACGATTGTGTGTAACTGGTAACTTTAATTGTGCAGCAATCTCCCCCCAACTTTTCTCTTCTATATTTGGGTCCTGATGATGCTGGGGGGCCAGGTGGAACAGGCCCCCTGAGCCGGCCAGAGCTCCACAAGCTGTGCTTCCATCGTTTGATTCCAGCGGCCCTGATGCTCAGAGTCACTTCCACTGTGTTAGCTCAGAGCCAGAGATGGAGGGGAGTCGGGTCCTAACGTGGCTCCAATAACAGGACTCCCTCACCAGGGCCCACCAGGGTTTGGTTTTCCTCCCACCAGACGATGTGGATCTGGAGGTGGAGACAGGTTAATGGCTGCTCCTTACTCTGTGTGAAACACCATGTGAGACACCAGGAGCTGAAACCTGATCCAGGAGATGCTCACACCAGGGAAAACTGCTGGCTAAAAGGGGCAGAAATCGCCCAGTGTACGCCCGGCTTTAAGGACATGAACGCAGCTGCTCCTACTTGCTCTCCTCGTCCAGCAGGTACAGAAGGCCGGTAGGTTTCTTGCTGATAAGATGGATGCAGCCCACGTTATCTGTGTAGTCAATGTTGTGCCAGGTTATTCCCTCTGCTTGATACTCCTCCTGCATTGGTGAGGAAGAGGGTTTTTTTGTGAGGAAGATCTTTTTAGAACTACATATCTTCAACTATTTGATCAACCAGTGTGAGAAGTATTGTGTTACTGATGTGCAACGTAATGTCAAACAGATGTTTTTTGTTTTATTGTGACCGCCAAACACATAGAAAATGTTTATGAAGCTGTATTTGAATCAGCGTTGTAGCAATAGCATCTATTCATATTCCCATTGTTTTCTAGAACTGTTATGATCTGAAACACATAAAACTTTCCATCTAACTTTTCAGGAAATGTTTGGATGAGTCATTTTTTGCTGTGCTTTTTAATACAAACAAAAAGTCAAAGTTTGAATTACGAGGAGGAAAATCCGGCGCCGATATGTGATGGGGGTGAATCAAATCCCAATGTTTACCTGCTCCAGATTAAAGATGTGATGGTTGAAGTAATACTGCAGCTGCTCATTAGCATAATTGATGCAGAACTGCTCAAAGCTGTTGGTCTGAAAGTCCTCAAAGCCAAAAATGTCAAGAACGCCGATGGACAAGCACTAGAAAACACGATAAGAGATTGGATGTATCTGTTATTGAGCAAAGTCAGAAACGTTTCAATAGAATTGGGTGGGAGAGGGCTGGTGGTACTCACAGGGATGGACTCTTCCATGTCTTTCTTGTTGAGCAGTGCGTGGTTGATGCGCAGGACGATCCAGTCAAACAGGGCGCTGTACAGGGACTTGGCCATGGAGTCTCTGGCTGTGATCGCCTGGTGGGAAAAGGGTTTCATCAACTCCACAACTCCACTGAGCTTTAGGAAATCACTGAGTTTCACAGAGGTGAACTTTACATGTCACGAGGAAGAGATCTACAACAGATATGCCGGGAATAAAGAGGAAGGAGCTGCCACATTACAGCATGAAAGGCTGACCACACTCAGAACAATACAAATGCCTTTCATCAACTCTGTAAAAGTACACCACAAATACACAAACTTTGTGTGCTACTTTTGCCGTACTCATGCACCTGAACTGGAGGAGTGTTCACTGTATGCTGTGTCCTTGAAGCCTACCTCTGAGTGGCTGTATGGGAGGATCAGCTTGTCATTGACCGTCACTGTTTTCCTCTTTGTCAGCGCCTCCACCAAGAGTTCTTCTTTGACCTGCCGGGGACACGGGTCAGGCATAAGAACGGCTATGTCGAAACAGCGGGCCACAAAAAATGCTCCCACTCTACCTTTAGCAGGTCAGAGAGCGTAGCTAGAACGTCCGGGGGCCCCACATCTAGCCCCTCGTCCCGGCCGGTCGACTTCCTCCTGTAGGTCACGTTGCCAAGATACAGGATTGCAGAAAGCACAGAAAAGATCCTGCAACGCAGTGGAGAATATTACAAACACAGAACGCAACGCATGCAGCAGTTAGCACTCTTTGTTCAGACCTCCGTTTGCATTCACCAACCTGTGTGCGAATGGAGGAGCCTTAACAACCAGCAACGTTTTATTCAGATTTATTTCATCTCTGAAAAGCCTCTTAGGAGTTTTATATATTTCTAGTGAAGCAAGTCGCTGCATGGACCAACTTTTATATTTTCAGGGCTCACTTCAGGACTCAGTTTCAGCATGTTTCAATCAGTGAGTTTCAGAGGAATAAAGGACACTTTCCAACCCTACTTTCACTCACTGTTTCTTGGTGGCTGGAAGGAAGCCCACCATCTCCATTGCTTGCTGCAACCTTTCAAAATCGTGACACAAATCTTCCTCATCTTCTATCTTAAAATTTTCCTGAGAGGAAAAAAATAAGAGACGGTTGGTGAGGGGTTAGAAAAACGTTAACTAAAGACAAAAGACTAAACGAAAAGGAGGATGAGGCAGGATGGGAATCAAAACAAGCTAACAAACAAAGGCGGATAACAAAGACGGCTTCATTAACATGCAGTGCACATGTGCAAATGAAGCTGGGAGTGAGGACAGAGAGCAGCATTTTCAGAGGCTTGGCAGCACTCATGAATACCAGATTTGCTCAAAGTCAGTCACAGCGTTACCTCCAATCTTAAAGTGAATTAGGTCACAGTTCAGCTGCAGAATTCAAGAGAACTTGGTAGGTGGAGTTAAGTGAGCAGGGCAGAGCACAATTACGTGAACAGTTGAGGTTCTTCTACGGGGCAGAACTGTACCTGCTTGAGGTAAAAGAACTCCTCAGGCGGCAGTAATTTAAACTCCTTTCTTTCTTCCTCTGAGGCGCCCAATAGCAGGTAGTAAAACACGTGGTAGTTCCTGAAATAGAATAAAAAAAGTCCCGTCAAGCAAACAGTAGGTTGCACTGAGTAAAAACAAATCTCACAGGCAAACACCTCAGTCAATTAGTGCCTTCTCACAACATGTGTTTGTTATTAGCTGCATGTGTATTGGAGCCTAAAGCTTATGGTCTTACATAAGAACGGTTTGGGTAATAAACCAGGAGTGAACACATTGTAAAAAAAAAAGGTAATAGAAAGAAGGCAATCTCTGCAGCTCGGTGGAGGTGGTATCGGTTTTCCACTTGTGCTATCAGCCGACAGGTAGACAGACAGCAGCTTTGTTGTACAAGCTCATGGGACTAATGAGTTTCCATCGATCCCTCAGAATAACATCGTACAGTAGTCTCACTCCCCGACTAAACCGGCAAGACGCACTGTCAACAGCAACTGTAGGCAAGGCCATAAACAGCTGGCAGTGGGCGGGGGGTGAGATGATATCCAAAATTAGCTGGGAAAATCAAGACAGGAAACTAATGAATGAGCGACACTGTGTTGACTCAAAACAGCTTCTGTGCTGATCTCTTTTAGGCATTTGTAGGAGGATGAAGATGGCCATTAACATAAAGTGTTAACAATCTTGTGGCACAGGCTCTGCGCTACCCAGCAGAATGCCTATCAAATTAATTTACTACCGTAGTTGTTTACGAGGATGGAGCAGCTCAAACTGGTGTGGCTAAAGAATGGTGATAATTTCTTATTTGGGCTTCACTGTCACAACAAAACGAAGCGCCAGGGGAAGGTTTGGCCCCACCCTGCCAGTATTTCCCGATTAACATAGCCCAAATATTTGATGGGATATTAGTCAGACAGGTTCCAATAGTCTGGTTGTCAGGTTGTTAATGAATGTTGCGATGAGTAACAAAGGCTTAGAAGACAAAAAGAGCGACTCAGCATGAAGAGTGACGTCACCTTTTTTTTCTTTTTTCAAATGCAGCTTTAATTTAAAAGTTTGTGAAATCAATCTGGATGAAACCATGTCGGTGGCCTTATAAATATGGAGCTAAACCAGACTGATGTTACAATCCCTGACTGCTATATGTTATTAAGTATTAAGCGCTCATAGCCACCTACAGCTGAAGGTGATGTGAGAGTAATTTAGGAGTTACTACATGGCATTTAAAGTGTCCCATTGTGTGTCTGAGAGACAGCCAGACTGCGTCTGAACTCCATATTTAACCATCCCAGCTTCCTGAGGGAATCTCCTCTTGTTTTTGCAAACAGACCCCTGAAGTCAAGAGGGAGTGAAAGCTCAAGAACCCCTTCTTACCTCTCATTTTTCTCTCTGGAGACCAAGCGAGACTTCTCCAGGAGATACTTCTCCACCACAGCCCTGAAAGACACAGGGGACAGGTATTAAGAACAGGAGGATGAAACCATTAACATAGAGGGTGGCTCTGGGTGAGTAGGGCTAGCTAAACTTTGACTGTAGTCATGAGGTATGCAGCTTGAAACGCAGCACTACTCCCAACTACACCAGGCCAAGGCAATAAAGTTGTCTAAATCAGATTTTATATCTGAGACTTGTTTTTTTTTCTATAGCCAAGTAAAAACAACACTGACGCCAGTCCTCCTGACGCTCTAAGAATAGAGCCACGCTGTGAGAATCCATCTATGAACGCACAGCCTCCGAAGCCAGAGGCAGCCAACAGCCCACAGCCTCTTTACTACAGTGACACGCTCAGAAACACCCGCAAAGCTATTTGACACACAGAATATTGATCATATTCAGTCGCTCCCAAAAACTAAATCTGTCAAATATCAGTCAAATGTGGGCCTTTTAAAATACCCAGATGTCCACAAACTAAAGCATCCAAGCTCAATACAAATGCCAAACATTTTAAAAACTGAAGTTTAAAGAACTGAACCCTTGACTTCAAAGGCTTAAGGTGGTCAGTAAATAGTGAGAGCGATTTTAATGCCATGATTCAGGTCTCCTTTGAGAGAAAGGGCTTTTTTTTTCCTGAATCCAACCAGGTTCTGAGGCATAACCTTATTTTCTGTAGTTCACCAGGTCACCATCTGTAGGGCACTGGTTAGTGAGAGCATAAAAACATCCAGTCTGTCAGTCACTCATTCACTCAGAGAGCACAGGAAAGCAGAACAGCAGCCCCCCTTTTGTTGATCTCCTTTATTGACTGTCTGAATGGCTGCAACTGGAAGTGGACAGAAAGACAGCCTTTGTTCAGAGTAGCGAGCAGGGCTGTGATGGCCCTCTGGGTCCGTACTGTTAAGAGGCACACAGTAGCACTCACAGTGTTGGTAAACTGTGTGAAATGCTTTGATTTGAGTGGCTCATTGTCTCAAAGGTTTCCCTTATTTGCTAAGCTGACTTAAATGAACTCTGCAGACTGAATTAGGGATTCTTCTCACGCTAAGAAATCAAACAGGACATGATGGGACATTAGGTTATTAGGGGGATATTAGGCTGTTTACGTGTTTCAATGTGTAATCTTTTAAAAAAGGGGGCATATTGCTCATTCAACAGGATCAAATATAAGTTAAATATGTCTGAACGTGAACATGTTTTCTTCTTCCTGTGCAGTTGTTCCCCTCTCTCTTGAGAGGAAATGAGGAAGTGACAGCTGACCAGACTATGATGCAGATCCTAACTTGAATCTGCCTGCTAAGAAAAAGGAAGAACATGCTAGTGGTTGAAAGTTTAAGTCCACTCAAGCGCCGTGCATAGGCTGAGTCGCATGACGTGCAATAAAAAGAGAAAAGAGGAAGATACTTGGCTGCAGAATCGCTAAGGATCCAAATGACAAGCTGCAGGAAGATGAACTCATACAGCTCATTTTAATGCCCCAGAATGTCCCGGATATGAGATTTTGGTGACCGGCTTGTGGTAAACTACGGTACACAGTACAGCAGAGCCCCTAAATGTTAATTTAATTCGTTCCAGGAGCAACTTCTATGTTAAATATTGGTGTGTTGGTTCAAATCTTCCAGCAGAATACACTGTAATTCCTAGAATTGGTTCCAAAAACCTACGATAACTCCTTAATAAATACTGCAGATAATTACACATAGCAAGAAAACAAATGACTTCTAGAAGAGAGATGGAAAAAGAAATTGAGGATAAAGAAATAATCAATAAAAAGGGTTTTTATTGGCACTTATTGGCTAACGGAGGTAGAGGTGGAGACTGAGATACAGGACGTACCCTAACTTACTCTGACTTTACTACAGGAACTTAACCTTTTTTTAAATTTAAATTTCTATACATATATATTTTTTTTTGTTTTTTGTTTTTATTTTTATTTTATCTATTTATTTATTTTAATTGATTTATTTAGATTTTTCCCATGACTTTGACGTCGTATGTTGGAAATTTACTTTGGGTGTCGAGTCGAATTTTTGATCAAATTTCACTTCAGATGTTGGAAAATTAGTATATTTAAGCATCGTAAGTAGAGAAAATCTGCAACGAGGAAGATGACTGTTGGAAACTGACATGACAGCAGGAATAGCAGCACCTCCACAAATGTTTTGGTATGATTTATTTATGACACATTTACGACACTCATAGTGTCATAAGAATCCATTTTTAATATAATGCCCACGCGCAAATATAGGCAAATACATCCATGGACCCGGTGCTGATTACTTACCCTCGAACCACGCCGCTCTCCAGATAATTAACCTGGATGAATTTCCCAAAGCGGCTGGAGTTGTTGTTGTGGGCCGTCTTGGCATTCCCAAAGGCCTGAAAAGGAGACAGAAACATTAACCCTTTAAAGCCTGATCCAAGAATTTTTTTTTTAGTCTGAAGTCTTTCTTTGGCCCCTCAACAAAATATGAAGAAAAAAAACAGAAATTATTTTGATCAAATTAGCGTGTAATAAGTAAAGAATATATGTTGGTGTAGTCTTCTACTGGCTGTTATCAGGTATATCTGAATGTGTACAACAGGGGTTTGAGCAAAGCTTTTACCACTGAATGATGCAAAAAGTCTCACATCCAAAAGACTTTAGAAACCGTATGTATCAAACATTTGGCATTATAGGGTTAATTCAGTCGAATCAGGTCTCAGACTATCAGCAGCTGTTCTTCCTCTCATCTGTAGAGATAACTCGGGGGGGGGGGGGGGGGGGGTAACTTATCAGAACGGAGGCCAGGTTGTCTACATGTGAGGTTACCAAAGCAACGGCCACGTCAACAAACTAAAGCCACAAGCGGCGGCAAAATCTTTCAAAGTTTGGAGCTCACTGCTGACGTCTGGAAACCCAAAACTGTGAATAGTGCAGGCTTTTACTCCATATATGGAAGTGCTTGTGAGAGCCACATCACAATCTGGAGCGGAGGGCTGTGTCAGAGCAAACATCTCGCCATCCGAGCCCCTACCGAAGTAAACAACAACTAATCTCCACGGCAACCGAGGGGGAAATATACCAGTGGTCAGATCTCTTTTCTGAAACTGCAGGGGGGGGGGGGCAAAAAGGAGGAGAGCATCTGCAGCTCGAGCTTTCTTCTTGCCCTCTTCTAGCCCTCCTCCTATTAATCTCTCTTTCCTTTGCTCCCTTTCTATCTTTTGCATCATTTGCTCCACTTTTTTAGTGCGTGTGTGTGTGTGTGCAGATGAAAGAAGAGCGAGCGACTAAATAAAAGAGGCGGGAGAAGGTAGGCCAGCGATGATAAATGAGGCTGAGCCGGCCGGTCCCACCAGGAGAACAGACTGAGCTCTAGCTCAACCCGAGGTGCAGAGGACCAGTGAGAGGCCCTGATTACTGCATTGATACAGTAACAGAAGCCTTTCTCCCCTCATGATGCGCATGTTCACATAGCTCCACACACACAACAAAAGGCCACCGCAGGGGAAGTTGACTCAGTGCATGTTAAATAGGAGCCACATTGTATTTTCAAAAGCAGTTGGAGGCTGAATTTGATACAGAGCTGCTGGGGCTGATCAGAGTGTGGGGGAACATACTAATACACACACACACGCACGCACACACACGGACACACACACACACCTAGCTGTCTTAACTGAGAATCCTTTCAAAGAGCTGCTGACCTATTTTCTTTTTCCCCCACTTTCTCTTGTGCTGAACAACCAACAACCAAGTTTGATCTAATGTGATTTATTAAAATGATAGAAAAATAATAATCACGTTCCTCAGCACTACATGACATGCTTTTCTGAATTAGTTTGACACTTAAGGGCTCCACGGGCAAAGCAACTCTAACTAATTCATGGATGATGAAAGAGTTGTTGGGCTGTCTGTGACCAGAGATATGTTCAGTCTGACTTGAACTTGCACAGACAAAACTCCAACCAGCTTATTGGGCTTTGGCTTCCTCTCCTGTGTGAGTGTGCACAAAACCTACCACGTCATAGTCACATTTAGCAGTTTAGGACAGTCTTTTAACCCTATTTCTGCTATTCCGACGTGTACAAACTATTATTCATAATCAATCTCTGAGGATAAGTCCATGTGGAGCTATTAGTGTCTCCAAACTCAGAGTTGCCCACTGAGCCTGGTTCTGTTTCCAATCTCCTCCCACCACAAATCTTGCATGCAGGAGTACAAAACCCTGGGAAATCTTTGCAAAGCCCAGGCCAATACACCATGGAGGGAATTCTAAACATCTCCCAGCATCATTCGTATTCAAACATGTCCACCAGCAGTCAATCTGATTGGCTCGGAGGCCCAGCAGGTATGAGGAAGCAGAGCATGGAAAGATGCCGTCTAATCTGCATTCTTACGAAACTGGGTTTGTACAAAAGTAGTTTGAGGAAGAAAAAGGAGAGGGAGGAGGATCAGGAGAGGCAGGAAAGGGGGCGCGCGGGGCCTCAGAAATCTGCCCTACGAGTGCGTTCGACGGGTTCATTTTGGATATCCAGTTTGTTAGCTTCTCTGGAAAGTCTGCTACGTGTACGTTTCCACTAAAACACAGCCAGGCCTATCAGTATGAAGTCTCACATCCCCATGCAGCCGGCTTCACACATACACACAAACTTCTCCTTCCAAACCAAGCTAGGCTCCCGTCTCCACCAGGCTCGACTCAGTAGTCAGACACCAGAAAGCAGCAGTTATACACTAAGACATACCTTCAGTATCTTTTAAAATTTGAAAAAGGAGAGAGGAAATAAGCCTGATGATGTGCACAAGATTAGAGGTTTAGGAAACAACTGGGTTTGAAGTTCTGAGATGACTTTTTTTGCTCCGAGTTGTCATATGTTACCAATTTAGGCATAATTTCAACATTCCTACTGAGACGACAACTGACAAACAACAAGAAAACCATTATTCTAAGTATGACGTTTAACTGGTGTAAGACCTTGTTGATAGAGCTCTGAAACATTGGCCTCATCCAGTAGTCTTGCTTTTCAAAAGGGCTCCAATGAAATGTTTCCAGAGGCTCTGCCAGGGCCATGACACTGACACCTCACTACAGCATGGCTACGGCCACAAAGGACTCGGAATAATCCAACTACCACAAAACGGCTCCCACATTCGGTGGACAACAGAGCCTCTAGGTGGATACGTTTATTCTTTCAGCTGCAGGAACTTCAAACCCACAACTATCAATCATGCGCTTTAAGGCCGACGTCAGCGTGCACGTCGATTACAGGACATCCAGGCTGCAGAGGTATGCAGTGTTTAATCAGTGGTAGCTTCACTGTTGATACAGTATTTGTGCTACCGTCTGTAGTTAAAGTCATCTGCACTCAAACAGTCACTGTAAATGTTCTCCTGCCTGTAGGCCACGTCACCTATAGCAATAAGACAGCAGAAACACACAGTGGATCAAATCAACGGGGTCTTTTTTTTGGTATTGTTGCTTTATAATGATAATAGTAATCAAAATCCAACTTGAAATGGTCTTGAACTGTTACAAAAATGCTCCAGTTTCAGAGCAAAACGACTGGGAGCTCAATGAAGGAATCCTTTACAAGGGACAGCTACGGCTAATATGCTAAATGAATGCTACTTTAGGTGAAAGAGATGATTGTCCGGATGTTAGAAGTCCAAATAAATGGAGCATGATTTGAAGTTGAAGCTTTGTGGATGGGCACAAAGACAGAATCTTGTGTCATAAATTATTTGGCCCCTTATTACACAGCAGCTTCGCCAGTCCAACTCAAATGCTGTGGAAAGTCACTGGGGCTTGAGGACAGCATGATGGAAATAAAACCCTGGTGGTGGTGGTGGTTAGGAAGAAAAAAATCTGTAATTGCTTCAGGATGAAATGGTTGATAGTAATGGATTTTTGCTATTCTTAGCAAAGACAGGAAAACAAATCAGGTTTGTCTTTAAACCAACTTTATAGTGAATGAAATGCTTTACCCAACTATATAAAGGGCTTACCAGTACAAGTACTTAATCATCCCAACACATAGCAGCACAAACATGGTTTTAGGTTTGCTTTAGGTGCTCCATCCTAATGAAGACTTGTGCTCTGAGGCTTCAACCAGGAACAGCTGTCACAAAAAAGCCTCCAAGGGCCTGAGTTGTGAAGCTATGAGGAGACAACAATCCCTTCAGGAGGAAACCACAACACACAACGTCTTCCATCACACTGGAAATTCAACATTTTAACACACATCTGAGACGGAGTCAGGAGCTAAGCCTCTCTGCTGCAGCTCACGTAATGAAATAGGAAACCGGCCCCTGTTAGGCTTAACATTTCTAGTAAAAGAAGTTGGTAAACCAAAGCTGGAGCCAGGCTTTGCCTGCTCTCCAGCCTGGACGCGATGAAAACAGGTTAGAGGGACTTTTACCTGAACGGATTTAAAGTCAACGCACAAGATTGATGTAAGAGGTCAAATTTTTCAGTAGTTAGGATAAAGCTTCAAGTACCAGTTTGGCTCATCTTGTGGTCTGTTTTTTTTAACCAGATTGGAGACATTTAAAGCAACTCCACCCATGAATACATGAGTACCACATCAAGCCTCCAGCTTGTGGTGTGGTCAGGGCACCACGAATAGATCCTGAAGAAGCCTGCCGCCTGCTGCCACATGCAAGCTGTGCACGGCATCCCATCAAGACTGCTCTGCACCTGGCTAAGACTCAGAATGATAGGATTAAAGACGTTTATTTCCCTGTACGCCATCAATATCTGTGACTCATCGGTATGATACGCTGACTTGTAGTGCCAGCTTTTCCCAGACTGTTACACAAAGCCACCCACCCTGAATAACGACTCAAACAGAAGAGATCAACAATAGATCAGCAGACAGAATGGCCAGCTACTCCTCTGCACTTCCTGAACAACAATACAGTCCTCCGGTCTCTCCACGCCCCTCCAGGCTCTGAGCTAACAGCAGAGGGAACTACTGCCTTAGCTTCCCGTGTGGTAGCACTTCCTGTTCAAGGGTTCCGGGCGATAGGAACTTCCGATCTGAGGCTGGGACACAGACTTGAGAGGAGGAGGCTGGGGACTGGGAGCAGGAATGTGGTCTTCATGTGGCTGACCTAAAGCCTTAAGTTAAAAATCTGCTCACCGTCTGGAACAACTGGACGAAAGGACTCGTTGTACAGCAATTAAAATATCAATAGAAGTGTGTTTTTAGTCTTTCATAACAGCAAATGTTCACATTGATGGTCATTGTGTTAAAGCAGCTGATTGCTGTTCTCAGGTCAAAGGATCAAACCTTAAATCGGGGCTGTTGGAGGAAAGGAAATTATTGACATATCTTTGTAAATTGGACTTCATAGGTGAGGCCTTTGGAGCATGGGCAGACTGACCCTCACAGTATTTCTTTTAAACAGTACAGTCCTAAGTTATGTCATTCTTTCTCACGCAACCCTCCCCCTCACGGCTCACACACATTTCTAACATATATCCTTCCACATACACGTCTGCATGCCGAAACAAAGGCTAGGCGGCTGACAATAAACCAGGTAAGCTCCAGAGTCTGGCAGAAGAACAGAGACGTGGACAGGTAACTACATCAGAGAGGATCAACCAGTTGAGCCACTTCATGAGAGACGTGCTCTGTTCCAGTAGGTTTTTATGCGGGCACAGAAGCTCTCCAACACATCCATTCAAGACTTTTCTGTTATATATACATATAAAAATTAAAACCATTTCTTTTGTTTACACTCCAAAGGAAGGAGTGGCACATTGTATTATTAGCAAAGCAGATTTTCCACCCAGTCAGGTCGGGGTTATTGAATCTGCCAGTAGGAGTACAAAGCCAGAACCCAGCACCACAAAAAATGATCTCATCTCCTCAAAATGAGATCCCCAGGCCTCAAGACCTCCACTCTAGCTCCAGGTTACACACACACAGGCATACGCACACATCTTCTGCCCCTGTAATCCAATCGGATTCAACAACAAGAAGGACAAGAATCCAACTGTCAAAGAAAAACAGCTTTTTTTCAGCAAACATTTCTATAACTTGTCTTTTATGAATCCACAACTTAGCTAAACTTCCTTAAGCTAAGCGGCAAAAATCAGCCATCTTATGAATCTCCATTTACTGGGACAGTCTTTGTGCATGTAAGGCTGTGGAAAAACTTAGAAAGCAACCATCTCCACTAATGTTTCGACCTCTCTGAGCAACCTCTCAATTACATGCTGTGAGGATGCCAGGAGGAAGTGGAGGGCTCTCCCACAGGCAGTGTGAGGGCACGACAGGCCCCCAGGTCCAGATTCAATCCCCACTTCCTCCACTGACCAGCCCAGAGGTCCAGGACCGTCCTCCCTGTCTGGCCCTGCCACCGCAGCTGCAGACTGGCTGACACAAGCGGCAGAGAGGGAGCAGAACTGTGCTGATGGAGGGGAAAATTGCACTTCCTCGACTCCCTCGTCATTTCTCAATCTGTCGACTGGAGCCAGAGGACTGACAGAGCGACACACATCAAGGAGCTGGTGTGTTTAAAGCTCAGAGTCCGGCATTCTGAAGAGGACAGAGACAGGCAGAGGACACCAGACAACTGTTTACTGACCCTTTTTGAATTTAGAGACGTTGTCTTTTACCATGAATTCTCCCTCAGATGAGGTTCTGCTTTTAGCTCCGTTTGGTGTTTTGTTTAAAGCACATTCCACGTAAAGCTTTTCTAGCTAAAAGGTCTATTTTTGGCCAAATTGCTGTGAAATAAAACTGAAAAGTATGCAGAGGTTTACTTCCTGTTGAGGGCTGAGAGCCACTAGCTCACCACAAGAGTCAGGCAATCAAACTAAATCCAAGTTCTGGGAGTTCTACTTTTTGTGTTCAGCCATCTTTTCTCTTTTGTCTTCATCTTTCTGCTTCTGCGTTCCTCCAATTGATCTAAAGAATAAATGCCGTCTATCACTTCAAAGGAATTGATGCAGATCAACTGTTCACATCTTCTTATTTAGGGAACCATAAGTTAAATCCCTGAGTTTTAAGAACCAACCTGTGAATATGCTATCTGACATGAAACTAGAAAATACAAAAAGGGATCATCAGCCCAAAGCTGGGCTTATGACATAAATGGATATCAGTTCTACTAATCACTGTTTTTACTGTATGTGACCTTTAAATGAGCCCTTATTCTCCACACAGGCTTTAACGCTCCAGCTTCAACCTGCAGCCAAATTCCTGTAGTTGTTTTGCTTCTGCACACCACTAAAAACATTAGAAACTGGGACTGAGCTGCAGTTGATTGAAGCGTTTGCAGACATCTTACGGCTACTTAAAGGTTTCTTTTCTAACAGAAAAAGACAGAAGTGGCAGAATGCCTTGAAATACTTGACTCGAATACTAAATTCCACTGCTCTGTATTTATCTGTTAAAAGGGCAGTGGTCCTGTTGAAGGCCTGGTCGGGTTCACATTTTAGCCAGACACCACCACGCATGCAACTGCACTGAATCAAGAATAAAAAGCTAAATATAAAACAGAGTCTCCTCTCTTTTCTGCCGTGTTACATGAGGCTTTAACTTCAGGTGAAAGATGAACTGTGATGCAGCTGGATTTGGGTTAATTATGGAAAAAGCTAGCACACATCTTTTGTTACTCAACATTGATCTGGTGCCATCTGATAGAAAGCCTTAAACCCCCCACAGAGGATTATGGGAAGATGCACATGGAAAAAGGAGCACCAGTGCTTGTTAACATGTCTGCAAACGCTCTACATCACCAGCCTCCCTTGTCGAGCTGTGAGGTTTATTGTTCAATAGTCATTTTGGGTAGTCATTTTGTGTATAATTAGATTAAGCTAATGTTTAACATAGAAACTGAGTTATGGCATGAAAGATGAAGGAGAGATAGGGAGGAGAGTGCTCCTTTATATGAGCACCACATCTGGCTTCTTATTTTTGTCCTGCTAAAGTTCTCATACTTAGGTCAACCTCCTGATGGCATTAGGGAATCAAGGGCTCCTTTAAAGAATATTAATACAATTTGAACTGAGATATGTTGTGGAAGAAGCACAGCCAGAAGCTCCAGATGCAGTCAAAGATCATACACAGGAGCTAATCATATACTCATTTCCATCAGAGTTGCTTAAAAGTTCCCACACAGACACAGTGTTTTAGTCTTGATCACTGCCGTTTGATCACAGCCAGGTAATGGTGTCAGGTATCATTTGTTCAATATAAAGGAGGATCAACACAAACACTCATCTCAGGAAAGACGTTTTGTGGTCACCTGACCATCAAACAAATACGACTGCCAGGAACTGAAGACTGGAACGGTGAACATGGTAAAAAACATCAGCGTTTGCTAAAAGGTGGACCTCAGAAAAAAGACTAACTTATCTGGATTCTCACTGCCTTTTTTTCACTAAAACACGCTGCAGAGAAAGGGTTAACAGAGAAACTTCCCCTGCACCTTTTCTCATTTCTTCTTTGTGGATAGACTACAGTATCTATGTCAAAGTCTGTATTCAGAGGCCCCACTAGCTCAGTACATGCACTTCCTCAGAGGGGCTCGGCATTAGCTAACCTTACTGAGTGATCTATCATTTATGGATGCAGGGCAAAGTCTTTGAAAATGATTTTAACAATTCAAAACTGAACAGACACGATCCAGTCTTACTGGGTTTTGCTGTTCGCCTTTATGAGAGTGACTTTAAGCCACAGTTTATCCATTACCAGTTAGTATCATTTAATTCCACAAACCAAATAAAAGCACTAGGGCTAATAATACAATAATACAAATGATCACTTATGTCATAATTCTAATGATTTATTAAGTGATACTCACCTCCAGGACAGGTCCGGCCCCAAGGATGGTCCTCTCCACCCCACTAGCATAGCCCTTCTGGCTGAGCGCAGTCAGACAGTGGATCAGGAAGTTTGTGCTCTGGGTCTTGCCTGAACCACTTTCCCCAGAAATGACAATGCACTGGTTGACCCTCTTCCTGAGCATAGCATAGTAGGCCACGTCAGCAATGGCGAAAATATGAGGTTCCAGTTTGCCCAGCTGGTGGTTCTCGTACATCTTGACATATTTGGGGTTGTAGATGGGCAGGAACTGGAAGGGGTTGATGGCGATGAGGATGCTGCCTGCATAGGTGTAGATCTTTTTCTTGTGAAAACGTGTGCGCAGATTGTTTAATATGCTGTCCTCATTGAGGACGGGGAGGTTGCAGAGGTCTGCAAAGTCATCCTGCGGAGGGGGAAGGAAGCCCCTGGCAGCCAGATGCTGCACCTCCTGCTCCTTGGACAAGGTTGGGAGGTGGACATAATGGATGGAGCCATCTCGATTCCTCTCCTAGGTCATGAGGGGAAAAAGGGCAATAGAAAAAGAGACTTAACTTAAATGTGCTTCGGAGGGTTTTAAATACACTTCTTCGTGCCTGTTTCTCTAAAAAAATTACAACATAGAGGAAGAGAAAGCAGAAGGAACAAGGCAATGTTCGAATAGAGGGAAGTTTTTTTTCATGTATTCACATCAACCAAATGGGACTAAATCGGTAGCTGTGAGCCATCATCCTTACCTGTAGTAAGAAGTAAAAACCATAACTCTGGGGATGCTGCTCCTGGGCTTTCCGGGGCCACAACAGAAACCTCTGCACGGGCAAATCCCCGGCCTCCAGAACCCACTCTTCCCCCCCGCATTCCTTCACCTCCGCCAACACGTACAGACGGCCGGGGTCCAGCCCCAGAGTCGACGCAGCGTCTGAGATGACCGAGGCTGCCGTGGCATCTTTCTGCACTCTGACAAAGACAAAGAGGAAAGGAAAACTCGGTAAACCTAAAGCCTTACCAGCATAAACCCCCTTTTCCAGCTCCAACAACGTGGCACCCACCTCAGGCTGCAGCAGGCGGAGGGATGGGCAGCCAGCCTCGGATAGATCTGGAGCAGGTATGAGCGGCCATCTTGATCATTAGGCCCATCGCCCCCCCCTCCTCCTCCTCCTCCTCCACCTGCACTGGTTGCCATGGTGGCAGGGCCATCTCTGACACTCATCCTGAGCCAGGGGGAGTGGCCTCAGCATGCCGCACAGCCACTGCCTCCGGGTCACCACGCAGCACCTGGGGGGAAAGGGGAGCCCATCAGAAACAAGCCTCTGCCTGTTTACAGCCCCACGCTGGTGATGGATCCCAGCCCAGCTTCAGCAGCCAATCAGCAATCACCAAAACACAACAATCATATTACAAAACATGGCTGCCAGGCTGATGATTGGTTCATAAGTTAAATAAAAAACCCTGCACTTGCGAACGGTCGGCCTCCATTTTGATCTGCTCAGTTTTAGCCAAATCTGTGAGACAATACTTGGTTTGTTTGTTTACATTTTGTTGGGTATGCTTGTGATTTATGAACATGACCTGAAGCTGGTTGTTTTCAGAAGAATATTGTTGGGTCTTTTGCAGAGTTAGTCTAAAAAAAGCAGCCAGCCGACTACTGTGACGCCTACTTCCTGACACGCAGCTTACTTGCTTTACTAAGCCTCTTTCTGTTTAGTCAGTTGTCAAGCATACAGTTCTTTTACAGATAAATTGAGGCACAAACAGGAAGTTCTTTAACGGCTCGACTGAAACCAAAACCCCAAATGTTGCCAGGCAGAAAACGAACCAAATATTAAGATGTGAAAAAATATATGATGGCAAACTAGAAACAAGACATGTGACGTGAAAACAAAAAGATTCTAACATCCTCAGTGGTGATTCGGTTATCAGCTGACATCAGCACGCAGACTTTTCTACAAACAGCTAAAAGTGCTGCATTGTTTGAGCCCTGAGAGGCCATTTCACTTCACTCCTGTTACTTCACAGCAGACGCTAAACCAAATGTTGCTTCTGCAGTTGGTGCACAGAAATCCAACCCTTCCGCTTAGTGATGACAGCACAGACACCAAAACAGACAAGACTTGGGGTAAGCCACAGATGGGGTAATGACTGCACAGACACACTGTCAGAGAGGCTAAACGTCTGTCTCCTCTCTGAGCTGATGCGGGCCATGACAGCTAGAGCATGTGAGCAGAGCTGGGTGACAGGACAAAGTCACTGAAACAGCTCCTATCTGCATACTCACATTATCTGCCTCTGCAAAGCAGCCTTTTCTGATTGAAGAGTCAACTGAGAAACGATGGGCTTAAACTTCTCTGTAGCTCTTGTAGGGTTTTTATTTAAATGTCTTCCATCAGGAAAAGCTTGTACACATTTCTGAATCTGCAGAAACGGGGCCAAGGCTTGTTCCAAAGTCCCAGATCATGATCCATTGTGCTCAATCACTCAGGGCTAACACCACTCTGTCATTAGCATTCCAGTTATTGTACAATGATACTTCTTCATTAGTTTACTTCAACCCACGCCCAGATTTACTGACGGCATCCACTGCGGTTCCTCTGGCAGGGTGGCAGCTTTACAGTCTCCAGGACGGAGCAGAAATGTTCCCTAACCCCATTCATTTAAAGTCAGCTAACACAGAACCAACAAACAGTGATAGAGTATCTCAGGAGCAACCAGCCGGATCACAAGAAACACAGCTGGAGTTAATAATGCCTGTCAGAAAGCTCAGTACACAGCAGTGATTTAGAGACCAGGGTGACGGAGACAGCAGCCGGCTGAGGTTCGGCCTAACAGTGAATCACGTAGCATGTAGCATGTAGCATCACGTCAGCCTTGCATGCTACATAAACGCTGAGCACCCTCAGGGGAGCGGCGGGCCGACAGAGCTGCTCCAGGCTCAGGCCTGGAAACCTCCTGGAGAATTCATTACTCTGTAATGCACATCTCTAAGTATCCAATAGCACCAGAAATAAAAACAATACCGGCAGGAGGAAGTCAAAATCGAGCAGGTCGGGGGACAGAATCACAGAATGTTTTATGCCCTCGTGAAGACGTTTAGTGGAGAAAAGCATTTTTGTTAGGATAGTTTCAAACTTTGCAACGGCTGATTTGATAAGAATGGTCTGGGAAATAGCTCAGATAAGAAGATCTTGCATTTCAGTGACATGCATTTCTATTTTGTTGCGTAACTGTTGCAATGATAACTTTTTGTATCTTCCTCAACTGTCATGGGAACATCAGAGGGATAATAATCACACAGGATCTCTCTCTCACACACACAGACAGACACACACAACAAAAAGACTCTACAGAATCGACTAGCTGGGTGCATTTACTCTTTAAATCTGGATTTCCCTTTTTAAACCCTTACGTATTATTTTAAAAATCTCCTAGTTTGGCACCAGGATGAATAATGCAGAGTCGGATCGTAATTATTCAGAGAAAGACAACACAATCTTTGGAGTCAATAAATAAATGGCATAAATAAAAATAAAACTAAAAAACTGGAACCCTCTCTGTCACAACAGCGAGTCCAAACGAATAGCAGAGCAGCTTCAGGCACAAGCTTCAAGAGCTGGTGCCGTTTGCCAAGCGAGCTGACCACAGTCCCAAAAACATGCAAGGCTGTAAAATGCCAAGGCATGCAAAACTGCAGAGACCACAAAGGAGGCATCATCATTATCCTCCATCATGAGCCATGTCTGCTTTAAATTTGTCACTTTAACTCCTGAGTTTCTCTCCAGTCGATTCAAAAACAGAAAATATAAAGCTGTTGCTCCTGGCTGTGAGATTTAGGGATTTAAATGTCCATTTGTGCAGCGGTGCATGGGAAAAAGCTTTATGAAAAGAGAAATAAGCTGAGGGAGAGCCTGAAGAAGAAGGGTAAACATCTATGGGTGATGTAGAGAGGAGAGCTCTCAGGGGACAATCAAAGGAGACGGAGGCTTTGAGATAATGCAGCTTCCTCCCTGCAGAGGAGATCCTCTGTGACGATGCCCCGCATTCCACAGATAAGGCTTGGGGTGGTCTGCTTTGCGTAGGCTTAGCCTGGCACTTTAGCGTCTTACTGGGGGCTGATTGGCGGACAGCACAGGAACATAACTGAGTGGGTTCTTTACCTTCTTACGGGGGATAGGAGGAAGAGTCAACTACCAACAAGCTCCTTAAAGCTGACATTTCTTATTAAGGAGCAGGTACTTCTCATCCCACCCAAAGCCCTCATTATCCGGACTAGAAAATAGGCTGAGTACATCAATTCAATTCAATTTTTTTTTATACAGCGCCAATTCACAACCAGTTTTCTCCCAGCTTTCCAAACAGAGCAGGTCAGACCGGACTCTGAAGTTATTTACAGTTATTTATAACTGTTATTTATCAACTCTATCAGTCACACACAGAAATGTCTGCAATGATAATGATTTTCCTCCAGTCCACACAAAGAAATGTTAGGGGAATTAAACTAGATATTTGAAGTGAAAAGAGACATTTGTCTTCACAAGGACAGAAACAAGATGTGAATGGCTTGTTCTACTCATCTTTCTTACATCCATGAAAGTGTGGCAGGGATAAATGTTTGGGCATCCCTCTTTGTAAGTGATTTCTTTCTTGGCAGATGTCCCAGCATGCCAAACGCTTTTATAGACAGGCAGAAGTCTCTACTGGTGATTTATTCCTCTGCTAAGACCACACACACGTCCCAGGACAGACAGATTTTCCGTCCTACCACAGGGGGGCTATTAGTGACAGATGTCTGGGGATCTATCCTTTACAGAGCCATGTCTTTGACACTGAATGTTATTGCTCTTCTACAACTAACAGAAACGTGCATTTGTATGTTCAGGCAACGTAATCCCCATTTGGAACTGAGGAAAAAAGAGCTGCCTGAAACAAGCACAGACTCATAGCTGACGTCTGAGTTGGCAGAAACATAGGAATTTCTGTCACAGTGGCAGAAGTGAGCCTACTCCATAGTGCTCAGCTCTGCACGAGCAAACAGAAAATAATTTGAGGCCAGAGATGAAAGAAGAGAGTGAATAATTCTTACTGTAGAGCGTCAATTAGCGTCCAAAGAAAAGACATCCTTTGCCATTATATGGCACGTCGTTGTGGGGTTTATGAACTCCATTACAGCTGTGCTGTAGGCTCTCGTGTTGTGCTCACACTCTGAGCTACAGACAGTAAATTTTCTCCCTAATGGACCTCCCAAGGCCAACACATGCGCTCATACTCATGCAGACAGTATAAACAGTCAGCAGTGAGACGGCAGCCTGACTCAAACAGCAGGCAGGATGTGAATGACACATGCAGGGTCACAGGACAAGTGTGATATACTGGGTATGACTCTGTTGCATTAGCCGTGCCTCCTTTGATTTTCACTCCTTTAAACACAGAGAAATGCTTTAAAAAATGAAGCCTGATGACGTGTGCTTTGTGTGTCTGTGAGCCTGTAAGTGAAGCTTTGGGGTCATCTGGTGATGGCGTAATGATTATACCATCACCAGATGACCCCTGACACATCTCATGAATCAGCATTTCCAAACAGGGATGGAACTAGTCTGGGGCATTTTTAGGCTTTACCACAAATTTCTCAATGTGAATGTGTCTGCATATAATTTTTGTACACCAGTCTAAGACTGAGGATCTTCAAAAAACAAAAAAAGAACGCAGAAAAGTGAAAAAACGCATCTCTCTACAAGTATCCAGTTCTGTTCTCACCAGATATGTTTACAAACTCATTCCTCCGACATCTGGAAGACCAATGTAGGTCATTCCACATTTGAACAAACAGCACATAGCAGAGCTATCGGCCTATTCCCCTCATTTCATCCAAACAGCTACAGTGATTGTGTATGTAGCCTCTTTGTTTCACGCTGAATTTCAGACCTTAAAATGCACATGTCAGCTCTCCCATTTTGGAGGGAGCATCTGTGAGCCTGCCTATAGTGGTGGGGCTACACTGCTCTCCCCTCCTCAGGGAAAAGGGGGCTGGGGCCACTGAGGTATCCATCAGCTCTACAGCTCATGAGCTAATGGAGATGAGAGGATCTGGCTCCTAGCCAAAGCAGACACCAGTGTCCCTTGGGCACTTTGTGAGGCTGAGGCTATGGAGGGACAGATTCACTGTGTGTGTGTCTTTCTATGTGTTCTTCCTATTTTTTTTTTTTTTGCTTGTGTTCTCCAAAATATTCACACATGCACTAATGGAGAGATTCCTCCTGTTGCTGCTGCTGGGTGGTAGTAAATC